ATTGCCGCAGATTTTTCGAATTTATGGTGAAATAAACCCACTTTTACATATGTTCCGCGTACCTAAAATGCAATTTGCCATTTAATTTTCACTCCTCACAGCAGCAATAGCAGCATCACCATCTAGCGGAAAAAAGTAGAATCAACGTCTCCCTCGATGTAACGCACAGAAATCATAGCATGCGAACGAGTGATTTTTCCTAAGTTTCCAATACGTTAAAATGACAGAGTACGCGCACCATCTACTTATTTACATCATTTGCATTACAAAGGTATAGTATGCCATGGAGAATGAACCATTTTACGCTGACCGCTGCTTTTGACATATTGGATATCATTATTTATTTTTTCTTCATTGGCAACATTTATATGATAGTCATTTCACTGAATGAAATCATGCCATGCCGTACGCACACAAAGAAGTTTGCAGTATTCATCTGGACTGTTCAAAACTGTGAAAAATTCACCAAATTATTAACCTGGAAAACAAAATCTCCAGATTTTGCTATATACACTCAGATGCAAAAAAACGCAACAAGTTAATATTCGGTCAAATTTAAAGTCTCATAACTTTTTTATTTTCTATTTGAATTTCATAATTTTTCCAAGAAATTTTAGATAAAATGACTAATTTCAACTTGTATATCCAGTTATTTGGTAAATGCTGGCAAATTAGTCAGTATACAGGGTTAATTGAAAGGTTGTTGTATGACGTTAATTTAAAAACACCCTGTGGAATCAATTCGTGACCAAATTCAATCAAACTACCATTTTTTGTTAGGAACCATTCTTCTTCTACATTTTGACTTTTGAGTCATGTCTTTATGATCACTGGTTAATTTTTGAGAGCAAAATGAACTTGAACTTGAAAAAAAAAGGAAATGTATTCATGCAAACTTCAATTATTTCACTTCAAAATTAAATTTCATCTGTAACAATCATCCTAAAAAACGTACTTTCTACAAGAAATTAGCTCAATATTTTGTTTTACCACCTCTAGCTCTGCCACTGCCTGCATACGTCGCTTCATACTGTCAATAAGGTTATGAATAGCATCCTGAGGAATATTGTGCCATTCCTCCTGAAGGGCAATCTGGACAATACGTAGTTCACTTACTGTAACCGAAGCTACTTCGCGATCCCTGACTCGTTTACCAGGCCATCGCAAGGTACTATGTGATTGTTTAATATCTCATCAATATATCGGTGACCCGTCAAGGGTCCATCGATGACCACCAACTCAGTGCAGACCTCCTGGGTTATTCCTGCCCACACCATTACTGAACCTCCTCCATGGCTCAGACGGGGACTGAACGTGCACTCTGCAAATCGTTCTCCGGTCCTCCTCCATACTCTTTTCCGTCCATCTGGAGAATATATAGCTTACTCGGTGACGCGGAAGCAATTTGGGTCCAGTTGCTGGTCTGCATACTTTCAAACCAAACCCCTTCAATCCACGGCAAACTGTCCATACACTAACATTTTTACTTCAAACCTCTTGGAGTTGACTGCACTGATGTTGAGTGACGATCCCGCAGAGTTTTAACGTGAAGAAATCTGTCATTAGTAGCAGTAGTTTTTCGTTTTCTGCCACAACCTGCCCTACGCTTATTTCCGCCAGTATGTCTAAAACGTTCGACTACCCTTTTGATGGTAGTACGATGACCATGAAGTATTCACTGTCAATTTGACTAAAGGCAACAATGATCATAGCCACTTCGCCAAAAATTTACATTTCCTTGATTAAACTGTTGTGACAAGTTCTCTTTGCTCTTAAAAATAATGAACCAGTGCTCTCACAGACATGAATCAGATGTCAAAATCTAGGAAAGGAATGATTCCTAACAAAAAATGATTTTCTGAAATAATTTGGCAACGAAATTATTCCACAGGGTGTTTTGAAATTAGGGTAATACAACGACCTTTCATTCAACCCTGTATAATGACTAATCCGCCAGCATTTAACAAAAGACTGGATATACAAGTTGGAATTAGTCATTTTATCTACAGTTTTTGAAAAAAATTATGAAAATCGAACCGAAAATTAAAAAGTTATAAGACTTTAAATTTGACCGAATATTAACATGTTGCGTTTTATTTGCATCAAAAAAAATTCCAATACCTACCTCCTGTCCCTATCCTCCCTAGGAACGCACGATGTTCTTTGAACATTATAGGGATTCCCTTTCGTGCGCTCCAAGCGATAAAAAAAAATCTGAGTGTAGTTTGTTACCACCTACCAGTGAAGGTGTATTGAACAACCTTTGTACAAAATCTCCTTTTCAATGTATTTTAGATATAAACATTATTATTATACACAAGAACTTGATGTTCTTGTCTCATATTGGGTCATAAAACACTGACACACTTTATATGATTTTTCTCAAGATGTAAGCCTCTACTTCACCTCCCAATCCAATACATTATGTTGACTAATATATTATTCAGGTTGTGTTCCATAGAACAGTGGTCCATTGAAATGGAAGTACCCTAAGGGGAATGAAAAAAAAAATGATTGATTTCATCCCAATGTTCTAATATTAACATTTATTAATATTAGGACATAACCACTCTTTTTTCCCATGTAAGCATTCCATTTTTAATAATCCATTTCGTGCACTTATTCACATGTCTGAAACATGTACCAATTGATTGGATCGTTTGATCATATTAAAATGTCATTTTTTCGCGATCGAAAATGACACGTCGCCCCCCCTGACGGCAGCAACTTGAACACTTCTGAGGACAAACAAAAAACAAATGTGAACCAATGGAAACAGGTAAACATGCCGCTTTGACAGCTTTCAAGAACTCCGATAGGTGGCGTACGCTTATTTTCTGTCGTGAATGGCGGTCGATATGATATGATTAAGATACCTGTACCACTTCAATGATTTGTTCAATGGTATCTTGTGCGATATTCATAAGGTTTAAATATTTCAAAACATATTAATGAACAGTGTATCTTCAAAACCTACTGGCAATATTCATCAGTATTCGTGATAGAAAATAGGCGTACGCCACCTATCAGAGTTTCATGAAAGCTGCCAAAGCGGCATATTTACTTTGTTTTCATTGGTTCACAATTGTTTTTTGTTTGGTGCTTATTGGTCATAGCATCAAAACAAACCGCTCAGAAGTGTTTAAGTTGATGCCGTCAGGTTGAGCGACGTGATATTTTCTATCACGAATCTTTCCCAACTTCATGCAGGCGGGGTACAAGCTTCCTATCAAAATGAATGTTACTTAAATTCTCCTTTTATAGTGATTTTCATTCATTAACCTGGTGGTGCACTAGTTTTGAACCAGTTTTGCACCCGCACTACCTTGGTTCTCTCCAAAATCTGAAAGGGTGCATTCTCAATGGAATATGAAATAATATTATAATAAAATCATTCCTGAAGGAAAAATCGGATAAGTTGGTTTGTATTTGTAAATAACTTGTGGGCATCCTGAAATATTTCTCAACTTCAATTAAAAACAAAGTAGATATGTTTCATGGAAATCATTTTGAGCACTTTTTTTAATGAGTACATCTTTATCATTGAATTAGTGCAATACACTTTCCAACATTATGAATTCTGGAAAGTAATCTCCTTCATTTTCTTCAAATCTCTAACTTTTTATCACTATTTGATGATGATGATAAGATTGATAATTTGGATTTCAACTTATTCATATTCAATGTTTCCGCCATTTTCAAAACTGTCTTCACACGAGCTATTAGCCCTATTAGAGCTCAAGCAAGGATTGTTGAACTGAGCACCAGTTTTACCAATGTAATTCGTCATTCAGTTTGTTTGACAACTGAATTCCTATATACTTGATATATCAAAATTTTAGTAATATGCTGAACAATGCTGAATATACAAGGTGAATGGCATTGCTCCTTCAATGGAAATCTGAATTGATAAAAGATGTTGATTTTTTAGTGTTAGTAGTGGAAAAAATATGAGAATGCTATTATATAGCTTGCACATTATATCCTTCCCTCCTCTTGATATAGCTCACTTCTCACCCTAGGTGTATAATATACTATTACATCCTCTCCTGCTCCACTTATTTGTTTATTTACTGATTACTATTCCACTCTTGTTCTCAAAAACCAATCACAATCGACTATTTTCACGGTTTCTCCTGTATTACAGTAATATTTTCAGTTAACTGAAAATTATTGAATTTGCTCTACCAATACAGAAGCTGACATGTCCCTCACGTGACCAATCAACCATGTTTTTCAGTGATCAAATTTTTGACGTTTATAATGTCAATTTTGTTGGAAGCCAGAATGATGGATGCAGTGTGCGCAACTCTCGCGAGGCGCTCGTTTATTGTCTCAATCATGTAAAAGTCGTAGGAATAATCAAATATTTCCTGGAATTCCTGACTTTGTCCCAAAACTTCTCGCCAACGGCTCAAAAGTTTTGAAAAACAATGGCATTCACTAAATTATTAGGCACCAATCGCCGAATATTTCCGGCTAAATAGTATCACTTGGGGTATGACCTTATGAAGAATCATTATAAACAAATTAGGTATTTTGGCTTTTACAAAAGGTGAGAGAGGCTAATGTTAATGCAGTAAAGCCCATTATTCTTCCCATTAGTTGTACTTTTACTTCACATAACCTCAGAAAATCTTCATTTGTTGTATGTTATAAACAGATTAGATGTTATATCTGTGGTCGGGACCAGGACCAGCCGATTTTGACAGGTTAAACGTTGTTGTATATGGATAGTTCAAGACCAGAATGGCTCTGATCATTTTCCTTTTTTTGTGATATTTTCTTCTGAATTTTATTGACCTAGATATTTGCAAATTTCCAGCATGTACTTATTTTATTGGAAACAGTCCAGAGAAATGAAATTTCAATTAATTTTAATTCAATAGTTAGAAAAACCTAAACTGAGTCACTGGGAATTATTACAATCAATATTAAACTGAATGAAAAAATGCAATAATCCCAAAGAATATTTGTATTTTTTTCAAAGATTTTCTCACCGAACTGCCGCGCTTTCTCTTTCCTAATTTGATCTTCAAAGTGGGCACTTTTGATGCCTTCTTGGGCTTCCTACCCCTCTTCCTCTTCTTGGACTTATCTTCCTCTTCCTCCTCTTCCTCATCGTCATCATAAGGCTCAGAATCAGCCTAAAAAAACATATAATCCATAAGGCCATCAGTAAACTATGGATTTCCATAGTGAATGTGAAAAACTACACAGACAATGAGATTTTCATTGTTGCACTCACCTCAACAACTTTGGCAGCAGCCTCTTTGGAAGCCCTGGACCTGTTTGACTTGGAATAACCTTCTTCTGAAGTAGTAGAGGCAGGCGCTGAAGGTTCATTAGTGTCAGATTGTAGGTTAGGATTGATGTTGGAAAATTCGCGCCATTTTGCAGCTACCAACATCATCAGTTTGGACATTGGAACCTGCAAAAAAGTTATCAAGAAGCAAATTAGGTACATCAGGTCCTGAAGGGATTCTTACTTTTGGGTTTTCTTTGGCTAGCAATGGTCTGACATGTTGTTGGAAAAGCTTGTAGCTAGTCAGATTTTGGAAATCTGATTCAGAATATTCAAGGTCTACATCAGTCAGACCAAAAGTGGAGCAGACTTCTTCTATAGTTGGCATACCTAACAAAATGAATATATGAATAAAAGATAAGTTGGAAAATATATTCTGGAATTTTACCTCCTGTCCCACTACTAGATTCTGCTGGTGCAGGGGTAGAGGGTGTGGAAGAATGCTTGGTGGACCCTTTCTTTCTTCCCCTTTTGCTGTTGCTTCCATAATCAGAATCCTCTCCTCCATTATTCTCCTCCCCAAAATCACTTTCCTGGGAAAATTTTTTGAATTATCAGAATTGATTCTAGTTGCATATTTTCACAAAAGTACTCACATCTGCACTGTCATTTTTGCGTTTCTTTTTCTTCTTTTTGCCTTTCTTCTCCTCACCTCTTGCTTTTCTCTTCTTGCCTTTCTTTTTCTTTCTTGAATCTTCTGGTTCATAGTCATCGTCATCCTCCTAAAAACATGATTGTTTCAATTCAGACTAAACCAAGATTTGATACAGAAGTACAATTTACTTACAGAACACCTGGTAAGGAAGCATTATTCATTTTATTTTTATTTTCATTTTTTATTCTTATTTTATCTTGGTGGTGTATAAGTAGTTTTGTTTTTTGATAATATATTATATTATGAAATTTTCAGCCTTATGAGAATAGTTTTATTGTTTGTATTGTGTGGTGTATCCAAAGGCCAACCTATTTTCAAAGATTCCAAGAATATTTTTTTCAAAATGTTTAGATAATTGATTTTAAAATGTGGGAAAACTTTTTTTTTTCTTTCTAATCTTTTACTACAATTTTATTCAGTTATTATGAGCCTAAGTAGATATTCAGTTATTGATAAGAAGAAAACAAGTAGCTGGAACTAAGTTTTTTCATGTCAACCATTCTGTAACAACCACCACCATATGTAGGGTCATATATGATTCAATTTTGATGTGTAGTCAATAAAAGTGCTGAAAGTTTACTACCAATAGTGTATAAAATGGAAAATATACTTCTACTACCTGTACAGTAGTCAGAGTGCTACATTACTGTCTCAATATTTTGTTAACTAATTTACTAAGTCATAAAATATATAGGTAACTACTGCTGGACATTGAACTCCAAAATAGAATAGAATGCAAATTTGCAAAAATGTTTTGATTCTCACAGTGATTCAACAGCTATGATTCAGTAGGGTTTGCCAGGAAAGAAGTTGTTCTTTTGAGAATATTTTTCAAATGAGGCATTGAATTATATGAAAAAAACTAATTGAGGGGTCATGATAATTATAAAATAGCTGAACAATATGTCAAATCCTAAGATGCTCACTAGTAATGTTCAGAAATGAATGAATGAATTCAATAGAATTAATAGCAGCAGAATAAATTCAAAGGAGAATCCTGAATAATTGGTTAGCTATTCAATATTTTCAAGGCCCCAAGGGCTGGCTACATAAAACTTCATGAAGTTGAGGAGGAATCAAATTTACTACCTCCAGGCATCAATCAACAGACCTTTGGTATCAATTTTTCAAGGGTTAAAGGATGTTTGAACATATAGGGGATGAGTAATAAGATTTGTCTCATACACTGAAAATTGAATTTTCCAAAATAATGAAAACATTTGAATTTTCTAGAATAATTACTCATTAATTTTCATTATTCAAAAATATATCCATTGGTACAATTTTTACTTTTTACCTGAGAAACTGAAAATTTATAGGTATATTATTATTGCATTTATAGGGAAGCTATGGGATTTTTTTAAATGACTGGTCACTCCTCCCCAAATTTCACTATGACCACTTTATGATTCAGTATGAATAATTGTGAATTACCCCTGGTTTCAGGACAGCATCTTCAGAGTCTGGCTCATTTTCAACTTGATCCCCAGCATCTTCAGGGGCGTCCTCCTCCCCTAAAAAGAAAAACAACTAGAAACTCGCGTGTCAGCCATGTGGACAGTGGTCATTGGAATCATAACATGATTTTGGAGGGAAAATACGAAATTTCTAACCCCAAAAGGCATAACAAGATTTACTGAAGAATTATGTAATTTGCAATCTGCCAATCTCTTTGTTTGATGTCCTCCATTTTGTTAAGGGTCAGGATATGCCCGCGCGCTGTCACAAAAATAATGAAAATCTACCTACCCCCTCCACCCCGCAAAACTAATACATCTGATTATCAAATTGTAATTATCCGAATTTTTGCAAATTTCTCGATAAACTCTTAACGAAATCTATATCAAAACCACAATGAAGTATTCGATTAATTGATTCTGCTGAAGTAATCGGTGATCAATCACTTTTTTGAATATAAACACAGGTTTTAAGAAGTCGGCTTACGTTAGCACCTCAAAACAAACTTACCGGCGAAAGGTTCGTCCACTTCTTCATCAGATGCCATTTGGGCACCTTATTCAGGTCACAACTTAAAAAATGTACACTAGTTTCGACACTTTTTCACTTTAATTTCACGAAATTTTATGTGAAATTAAAAACACCATGCATGCATAGGTTCGTGGCCTTTCTTGATGCTTTTTATCCCCTCCCCTACTTTTTATTTTAATTTCCAAATGATTTCCAAGATAAATCGTAATACACATGCGCAAAGCAAGACATCTTTGTTTTACGCGGAATGAGTTGTATTTTCTGTTTCACTCTTTTTATTTTTCGAATTTTCAGAAAAAGGTTTTCATCAGAAAAATGTACTAAACAGAATTGGAAACTACTATCCTGTTTATGAATTGCTTTCGTTTTCCTAGCAAAAAATTACAAATTCAGATTTGACAGTGACATGGATTGTTGGATTGATAAATGTCAACTGTCAACATGACATATTTGTATTTTTGTTACCAACATCCAAAACGTTAAAGTTTCAAAGCGGGAACTCAAATTCAATTTTATTTTAATTTTCACTTGAAAATAGTATTTTGCCACCATGATCATAAAAGCATAATAAGATATCAATGAATCAACAATTAGGGCAGCTCCTGGAATTGATGATTTACTAATAGACTCATCCCAATAATACAAAAGTTTTCAATGGTATAATTTTATTAATAATTATAATATACTATTTTATATTGATAGTAACTATCAATAATATATCCAAGAATTATCCAAGACAATCAATAATGACTCTTTTGTTGTGACAAGCTACAAGCTATCAAACTTTAAATATAATAGTTGATAATAGTGAAGAATATCACCTGACCTGCATAATAATAATTATAATAATTATGTTATTTAAGAGGAAAATATGACTGTAACAATCCTTCATAAATTTCCACATCCACTGGCAAGAATAAGCAAAAGATAATTCTATCAACAGAATCAGCATGGGCTTCCAAGTATTTTCTAACTGTGTATGCAGCTATATGAGCAGCAGCATCATTAGGATAATGATAAATACCTGTGGAAATACAAGGGAAGGCTATAGTATGCAATTTATTTTCTTGCATTATTTTCAAGCTATTGCTGTAGCAGCTCTTCAGTAAGTCTGGCTTTTCTCCTATTGGACCAACTGTATGGATTACATCTGGAAAAATAAGAATCCCATAATCAGCAGCTTTTATAATTCTGTCACTTCATTCTTACATTTGGCAGGTAATTTGTATCCACCTGTGATTTTGGCATCACCAGTATTACAACCATTCAATGTTCCACATTCTTCTTTGAGTTGATGTCCAGCAGCTTTGTGGATGGCTCCATCAACCCCACCACCTCCCATGAGTGTTTTATTAGCAGCATTTACAATAGCATCAATCTAAGAAATGTTGAAGATTGTATACATATACTACATGACATACTACCACACATACTACATTACTCATTGTAATGCTAAATTGTAATGTTACCTACCTCTAATTTTGTGATGTCTCCAACTACATAAGAAATTTTTTCTGCAAGCGTGGCATTTTTTGAGTTATCAATTGTACAGTCTGATAACATTTCTATTTTATCTCCAAGTTGCTTACTTTCAGCTACATCTTTCCAAGTTGGTATTTTTTCCAGTGGTAACAGGGTATTCGATTCCTTGCACAATTTTCTCTTATCTTCGATTGACATCGATAAATATTTCTCCTTTTCGACTTTCCACTTGCTCATCTTACGAATCCCACGTTCCTTATCAAATAATAATTTTTGTCGGCTTAGCAAAAAATTCCACGATTTCCACGTTTTGGTCATTTGCATTTGGTATCATATCAACATCAACAATATAAAATATGTCACAGAACAAGACGTCAAAACATTCAGAAAAATTCTGCACAGAACACAAATGATGTTAAGCCCAAATCACACAGTCAGGCGGTATGGACGATATTTGCTGAATTTTGAAAATGTCTGGCATTGTCAGAAATATTCAGAAATTTGCCGTTAAAATGCCATTAATTTGTACTAAAGATCAAGATAAACTGTATTGTGCAATCACCACTCGCTTACTAACGAAAAAACTGGAAGAGAAAGTATAACAAGTGGAAGCTGGATTTTCGCAGTGAAACAGAGTGTATTATTTTTCAGAAAAATTCAAATATTTTATTCCCGGAAAGTATGGTGCAGGGAAATGCCAATACAAATGTGAGTTTGAAGCTAAATTCAGGAAACTAGACTATCAATAATTTATCCCTACAATCTCTCATTCAGATGCCGAATCTGAATAATATTCCTAGAAGAAAGATCAGTTTTCAGTCAAGCAACCCTAAAGAATCATCAAAAGTTTCACCAATTTTCGAAAAGGGAGAAATGGGCGCAGTATCAGAAGAAGGAAATATCAGAAAACATGTTAAGAATAAACTTAATATTTCCTTGCAAAAAAAGAAAGTGATAATTTTTTCTTCTTTGTTTATAGAGGGTGCTCGAAAACTCAGAAATATCATCCATAATTTCGAGCAGCCAAAAACTGAGGGAATTGAAAGAATTACATACCCTACTCAAAAAAATACCTATGGAGCCAAAATCACTGCCTGTAAGTCAGATATTTCATCTATAAAGCATTCTTCCTCTTATCGCAATAAGAAAAGCGATCAAATAATTTCTTGGAAAATTTCAGCCAATTCAACCTCGCAAGCCAACCATAGAATCTATAAAAGAAGCCATAGAAAAGGCAAAATTACTAAACAGAAATAAAAACGTGGGAACGGAGGAGAATAAATCAACAGTCTCATTGAGTGATGCTTCGACTTCCACCGAGCCTCGAAAAATCAAAACAAAAAAAGAAACAGGAAATACTGATAGTCATGTGACTAGTGTTAGTTCATCTCCCACCCCAAGGAGCAGTCAAGCGAAAAATAACAAGAAGAAAAAGACGAAATTTAAAAATTCACAAGGAAACGTGAAAATACATTCTTGTGTGAAAACAGAACGATGAATGATTATTTCATATAAGTAAACAAAATGTACTATTCGTCATATAACATATTATTATCAAAAGGAAAGGAACAACATATGACATGCATGAAATAACCTATGGTCAGTATATATAATATTTTCTTAGTCCGTTAATTAATGCGTTTGCGGAATTATAGCGCTGTTTTTTATTTCAGTCGAACTCAATGGCTTGTATTTTTTATCACTGCGTAAAATGAATAAGATGCCTTGATTATCTGAAAATAGAAAAGTTGTCGAAGAATATGATCAATATGTTTTATAATATGTATGTAGGTACATACTGCTATGAAAGTGGGTAGGGTGAGTGGTGCAAATTTTCCCGCAGTCAGATATAAAGGTCTATTCGCTCTAGCCATAGTAAAAATCATTGATTTCTTGAATTCTCTATCAGCAGATATCCAGTCACATTGCCAAATGTAGAATGGTATTCTATCAGCCTGATAAAACAATAGCAGAATGTATTTTTTTATATCCTCTATAATATATAATAACAGTACATAAAAATTATTGTTAACCTTTATCGTAACTTCGTTTCCAAACCAACAATAAAGGATGAGTTGAAAACCCATGGCTACCATGTAGACTAATTCAGCAAAAAATTGTTTACTATTTGCAGGAGTCTGAAAACGAAGAGAATAATATCATCAGCGATATTAATTTATAAAGAGTAGATAGGTATAAGAGTTTTCAAACATAGAATGCACCCTCTCTGTAAGTTCAAAAGTGAGCCAAAATTCTCGAACCAGATGAAAGAAAACTGATGTTATTGGTGCCTGAGGGTCGATTCTCATGATAAACTCAATGGTGAAATCCGCAAATCGATATCTGTCTTGGTTTCGGAGTTACAGATTTTTTTTGCAAAAATTGTCTGTTCTCATGAAAATAACTGCAAAGCATTGAGTTTGTGATAAAAACTGTTCTCGAGGCACTGAAATCCGCCTTCCTATATCAAGTTCAAGAATATAACTTGCTCTGTTCTATTTTGCAACTATAGGTATATACGGTGAGTGATTTCAGTGCCTGAGGATCAAATTTTCATGACAAACACAATGATTTGGAAATGTTTTCAGGAAAACGAAGAATTTTTGCGAAAAAAAAAAAGTTTTAGTCACTTTTCCAAAATACACATTTTCGAAAAACATCTTGTAACTCTGAAATAAAGATAGATATCGATATGCGGTTTTCACCTTTGTCAACAGGCACCGACATCAGTTTTTTTCTATCTTATTCAGGAATATGACTTTTCCTTTAAAAGTGACCAATTTCGCCCACCCTGTTCAGGGTTATTGGAATTCCAGCCTCATCATTGAGATCTCCTAATACGTAAGAGATACAGGGTCGGTTAAATTATGGCAAAGTTTGGCAGTGTTATGTCTATCTATAACAAAATGCCGTTTAGAAATTTGAAATATTCCGAATACTTTCAAAGATTTTTGAAAAAAAAACGCACATGTTATCAGATTTGCAAACCGACATTCCGTCTTATTCGAGCTGCCAGTATCAACTTTGTTTTTCAAATATGACTCTGGATTTTTCTAATATGGATTTTAGAAGCATTCAATCTCCAAAAATCATGGGTGTATCGCACTTATTCGAGAAATTCACATAAATGGCATTGTTAGAGATTGACAGAGAATAGATTTTCAATAGGACAAAAAAAACACCTTTTTTTGGATAAGTGAGATACAGCGTTGGTCTCAGGAGATTGAGTTCTCAATATCCATAATGAAAAACTCCAGGGCCATATTTAGAGCATTCCGGTTTGAACATCTGGTAACTCCATCCTGCAGAAGAAAAAAAGTAGCAATGCGAATGTGTAAGTTATTGTCTTTTACATCTATTCAAATAGGGACATACAAAAATTAATTTGATATCGCGAATATTCGTTTGTTTCCAAAAATCTTTGGAAGTATTCGGAATTCTTCAAATTTCAAAACGGCATTTTGCTAGAAATACAACTGCGCAACTTTGTCATAACTTAACCGACCCTGTCCACTTCAAGAGATCCCAATGTCCAGATAGCACAGAATATTCTATGAATGTTCTCACAACGTTCACAACATACCTCCTCCAGAATTTTCCGAAGAACGTTCATAGAATATGATGAAGATGTTCTGATTGTTCATAGAATTTTTAACGAAAATATTCATTGAACATTTCATCCAAATATCCTTTATAGGAACGACGTTTCTAGAATATTCCCAGTTTTCCAGGTACGTTGATTGAATATATTATTTAGATACTCTGAGAAAGAGAAATGTCATATTGTTTCCTATAAACATATATAAGATTATTGACAATCCTTTTCCATGATCTTGATAGAACTTGTTATGTTCATCTACGGTAGCAATGGAATTTAGTTAATTCAACTTCACAGCTACTTTTCCCAATTATTTTCTTCCTACCCTACCCGACTTATAACTCGGAATATTGGATATAAAAATTCTGACTTATAAAATTTCGAGATATATAAGTCAGAATTTCAAAATTCCGACTAACTCATTTTTTAATTTTAGTTGTCCCTCCTGGGAAATATTTTCCATGCGCTTTCCTGTGTACTGAGAATATTCCCAGATTATTCTGAGAATGTTCCATATATATTCATAAAATGTTCTTGAGAATGTTCTGAAAAATATTATGAGAACGTTCATAGAACGTGAATTTTCGTCCCATTTGCATGTTCTCAGAATATTCTCAGGACCTTCAGTGAACCTTGTGAGAACATTCTGAGAATATTCGAAATCTTCTACGGGAACATTCTGAGAACGTTCTCAGAATCACTTTGTGCTGTCTGGGTGATGAGGCTCGAATTCCAGCCACCCTGTACAATAAGGTCCACACCAAATATTTTCCGTACCGTTGAAACCAAATATAGACAGGAACACAGTATGAATAATGTAGCTATGGTCTGAGCAAGTGTCAGAAACTTATAAACAGTTTCTAGTTCTTCACACACTCTGAAAAAACAATCAAATCAATAAATATATTCGCAATAGTGAATTGAACAAATTCTGAAGTTTACTCATAAATAATTTGGAGATGTATGCTGATCTTCTTCATCTCATGATTCAAAGCTATCCTTAACTTTTCTGAGTTGTACAGTCCATCTGGTGAAAGTAATGGTCCTATAATGTTTTCTGACACTCTTTCGTGAACTGTGAGGAATGCACCTTGCACTATTTCCAGATTCATACCAATGCAATTCATCATATTCATAAACAGAGTATCCATACCTACAATACTAAAAAAATTGCGAACAATTTGCTATGAAAGAAATTCACTCTGCATCTTTACAATATATAGGATAGGAATAGAGGTATGGGTGAGTCAATATAGCGTGTTCTCCTTCGATACTAGCCAAATCGTAAGATATACAAAGTGACCCATTTGAATTTTGTTTAATTTTTTGAAAATGGAAAGATGAAAAAACTCTTTTATAGAGCTGAGCAGCGACCATTTTTTTCGAAAAACCAAGGCCTACTAGATCACATTGAGAGGCTGAAATATATTAGCGATTTCTTTTGAAAAAATCCGCGTACATTACTGGAATCGGCGTTCTCTGTAATAGATCTACAGCGTGTCTCATTTCAAACGGCCCCCCTCTAATAATATCTCATCTATTAGTCGTGCTATTTTTTCCAATTTGGTGAAGATCTCATGGCTATATAGCTGAAATATAGAGAGGGACAGTTTGAAATGAAACACGCTGTAGATTCGTTAATGTTGAATATTGGTACAGATCTATCATAGAAGACGCCGATTCCAGTCGCGTGTATGCGGATTTTTTCAAAAAAAATCGCTAAAATGGATTGTGGATTGTTCAGCCTCTGAAAAAAAATGGGCGCCGTTCAGCTCCACACTACACCTTTCCCCCTTCTACATTTAGAAAACAAAATTCGTGAAAATCGCTCCATGAATGAAAAAACATGAGGGTGGCCCTCTTTCAAATGGGTCACTCTGTATATGTAGAAAAAAGTTCAATACATCAGTTATTGGGTTTCATGATAATTATAGCCTAAGAATATTTTTATATTTATAGGGTGTTCGAATTCCAAGATCGGCTGATGATGGCTTTTTTAAATATAGGACACCCTATATATATTATTGCATTTTTAGGTTCTCCCTCAAGAGCTCTGATTCCATCAATGTATGATACTTGGGGTTTAGCAGATATATGATTACAGAGATATAGAGGGTGTGTGTTCAAAATCGAGATTTTTCAACTATAGTATTTTTTGTGTCGAAACTATTCATTATTGGTCGAAACGGCATGTCCTTATCTCAACTTTTGATTCATCATCTGCTGACATTCATTTGGAACAAATACCAGGGTAGTTCAAGATTCAAGAATTCTGATCACCCTGTATCTGTCCCAATTATATGTCAGTAGATAGTAAATCAAAAGTTAAGATAGGGGCATGAAAGCCGTTTTGACCAATAATGAATAGTTTCGACACAAAAATATCCTAAAGTTGAAAAATCTCGATTTTGAACACCCTATATATACATCTCTGCAAACATTCCTGCTAGACCCCAAGTATGATTATTGATAAAATCAGCTCTACAGGAAGCAGAATCTGAAAATGCAATAATGAACAGTGTGTCCCATTGAAAAAAACCATCATCAGCCAATATCTTGGAATTTGAACACCTTATAGATAGGAAAATAATTTTAGATGATAGTTCTCATGAAACCCTATAACTGTTGTATTTAATTTTTTTCTATACAGGGTGATTCACATAAGAACCGACATAGAGCAGGGGCATGTAGGGGGTCCCAAAATATGTCAATATAACGCAACTTACCTCTATACCAAGTTGCTTCCCTAAGGAGTTATAGGCTTTGAAAGTGAAGTTATGAATTTTGAAAAAAATCAATATCTCCGTTATTCTTGAACTTAAAGCAACCAAATTTGGTACACTTTGTGGATGTATTAAGGGGGTTACTTGACAGTAACTAGAGTTTAATTGAAATTTGTAAAGGGGGTATACCGGGTGGCGCACCATTAATATTCAACAAAATTTTGTTAACCCTTGATGGATTTCAAAAATCTTTGCTTTGTTTTGTGGGCAATTCAATTCTAAAATTTTTCTAAGTCCAGTAATTTCTCGAAAAACCTCATCATTTTCATCAAAAACTCGAATTACTGAAAACGCGTGCTCTAGGTGTGTTATTTAAAATCATCGAAAATTCAAAAGTTGGCTATGAAAATAAACGTCAAACTTGACAATGGAGCAAGTAAGTTTTCGATTAAGTAATTTATCGATAAACAATTGTTTGTTCTGGTTGTTGTTTAAGTTTTTTGTGTTTATTTTGGTTAGTTGTTAATCCCAGTTTTTCACATTTCGGTATCTGTACTTACTTTACGGTATCTTGTTACGTATCTAAATAATAATTTGCCAGCCAATTTCTACTGACCACAATTAATGAACTACTTTCTTGTTGTACTTTTGAATTTTCGATGATTTTAAATAACACGACACCTAGAGCGCGCGTTTTCAGTTATTCGAGTTTTTGATGAAAATGATGAGGTTTTTCGAAAAATTACTGGAGTGAGAAAAGTGTTAGAATTGAATTGCCCACAGAACAAAGCAAAGATTTTTGAAATTCATCAAGGGTTAACAAAATTCTGTTGAATATTAATGGTGTGCCACCCGGTATACCCCCTTTACAAATTTCAATTGAGCTCTAGTTACTGTCAAGTAACGCCCTAAGTACATCCACAAAGTGTACCAAATTTGGTTGCTTTAAGTTCAAGAATAACGGAGATATTGATTTTTTTCAAAATTTATAACGTCACTTTCAAAGCCTATAACTCCTTAGGGACGCAACTTGGTATAGAGGTAAGTTGCGTTAAATTGCCATATTTTGGGACCTCCTATATGTCATTGCTCTATGTCGGTTCTTATGTGAATCACCCTGTATATCTGACGGTTTGGTCAATATCGAAGGAGAACACACTATTCGACAGGGTGTTTTTTGAGTCTAATACCTATATGGATTGACTTCCCTTCTCAGTTCTCACCTGTAAGCATAAGAAAACATGGGAATAGCCTGATAGCCTAATGCTATGATATAAAGTCCCGCAGTATCAAATCTGAAGGGCATCCAGCTGTAGTAAGGCAACCGTTCTGGCAGAGGTTTTTCCAGGTTTCCCTCGATATGCCGGACAGCCGTTATTAGAGGTGGCACGTAAGATGACATCAGAGTGGCGTGAGCCAACATGAAAAATAGCAGGGTGTACCTTATGCCCACCTTTTTGAAACTTTCAGATATTGCCCCTGGAAAGAATCCCTTTTTGGGACAACTTCCGTACCGGAGCTCTGAATTTTCCAGCGTCGACATAATTTTTTTCAGTTTATCCCCACAGAAATAGAAGAAAACTACCTGGAACACATAATCTAACTATGCTTAAACTTACTGAGCATTTTCCTGAGAAGTAATGACCTCAGGAATGATTCCACTTACCTTTACTGCACCCATGAGGTGGGTCAAAAGAAAACTGACGTTTTTAATGAAATCATACTCATGACCAAAAGTGGAAATCAAACTCAAGAATTCCGTGCCGGTGAAAAAAATATTCACGAACAAAAAAATTCCCGTAACGTAGGCCGTGTAGAGAATTCGGATATTTTCGTTTTTGGTTTCCGGCCTCCACATACCGGCACATTTCAAAATCCATCGGTTGATGACGAAAAAGTCTTCAGCGTATGTGTCAGACATGTTGCAGAAAAAATAATCAGTTTTCAAGCTCTCAACGACTTTATATAGGTCCACACAAACATTCAAAATAGCTTTCGAAAACAATGTTTGGCCCCTCTACGGACCCCGAAGTTTTTGATCTTGGATTAATTTATTCAGGAAAACGGTGCCATTGTGGTTGATTTGTCTCCAAATTACTGGGTACAATTTATTTTTCAGGGATGTATGCAATTTGTTTATAAATCGATAAATCATATGAACCTGTGATTAAAGAGAAGCCACTATCAATTGAATATTTAGGTGGTTAGAATCAGTGTTTCGAATCGAAACAAGACTACATACATTATTAATTATAATAATACATGCACCCAACCAAATTGGAACATGCTATGCTATATAATTTCAATTTGAAAAAAGAATGTCTTCCGATATGTCTTTTGCCTTTATTTGCTTATTATGTTGTTGCATTATAGCCTTGAGATTATAGTTAATTTATTAATTTGCAAAAATCATCGCCAATTTCATTTATAGAAATATATAACGAGTTCCAGCCAACCTCTCAATCTGTATACTTACCTACATCATTGTGTGTATCAAATTATATTTCATTTGTTGACTTCTGCTATACTTACTACCTTATACTGGGCGATTCAAATTATTGGGTATCTTAATTAATATTCGCGCCTGAAAAACTCCTTTCGTGTCAGCCTGACATTGGACGCTTAAACTTTCAAGACTACTCTGTGATCCTAATATGTGATGCCGAAATTTTTTTTTCTCCAAACGGCAGGGATAGTGGCTTTTTTCTGCCGCTTAACAGGCAGAAAAGGTGTACTTTTACTGCCTAGGCAGAACGTTCGAAGAAATTCTTATGAAATTAGTAATCAAAAGTGACACTGACATTGGGTGAACACAAAATGATGGAGTTTTCAATAAAAAAATTACACAAATTGGTAATATATCATTTGGAGAAAAAACTCTATGTTCTACACGGCAGCAAATGTAGATTAATTGCCTTGGCTGAATTCCAATAAGCCTCGATACGCTCGGCTATGAACTATCAGCCGCGGCTGAGAATGTAATGGTTGTATTTTAGATGTTGCAACATCAAATTCTATAATTTCCATCAAAATGAAAACTATAATAATCAAATTCGAATAAAGTCGAAAAATATATATTTCAGAACGGCTATATGCTTGGCAGAATTGTACTTCATTACTTGTGCATGAAAACAGTAATTTGCTCCTCCATTCAACCAGTTCATGAATAGTTTCGAAATTCCCACTAGTCCGTAGTACGAAGGCCTGGAAGGGACACATAACTCAGAATTTTAAAATTTTATTTATTTATTTATTTATTTATTTATTGAAAATGTTACTTCCAGTCAGAATCAAGTTCTGGTATAAGGAAGTATAGTTAACAATAATACCTAAAACTATACAATTATAATAAACTGATGAACAATAAAATATTTGAAAACATTAATTATTAAATTTTGACAAATCATTTCATATTGCTGAGCAAAAATCAATTTCAATATGAATCAAAAGTAAGTCATCTATTTCGTTCAGAAATGATAAATTTTTTAAGATGGTATTTGAATTTTATTGTATTTCTGCAATTTTTTATATTATCTGGTAATTTGTTATATTCCAAGAGAGCAGCGTGGGTGAATCTTTTTTGGCCTATAGAAGAATAAGCGATATCAAGATGAAATAAACCATGTTGTCTCTAGTTTGATAATCATGAATTTCATTGTTTCGTGTTAAAATAAAATTAGATTTCAATCTTTTATTTATGATATTGTATGTAATTTTCAGTCTTTCGATTTTGAACATTTCTTCTAATGAGAATGATTCAGTTATTTTATATAATTGATTTGTTGGTGTATCATATGGTAAACGATACAGTACTTTCAATGTCTTTTTATATAATGCAGATATTTTATTAAAATTGTTTTTTGAACAGTATCCCCAAACATTTATCAAATAGTTAATACGACTGAGTATATGAGAATATAGAATTATATTTGCAACTTTTTTATTCAGCTTGGGACATCTTCTCAGGGCTCCAATAATAGGAGATATTTTTTTCTTCAAAACATTTATATGTTTGTCCCACTTCAATTTATCATCAAACCAAATCCCAAGATACTTTTTCTCATTAGTTTGTTTCAAAGATTCATTTTTAATTCTGAGATTTAAATTTATATTTTGTTTATTTTTTTGTTGAAAAATCATATATTCAGTTTTATCAGTATTTATTGATAAGAGGTTTGAATGCAGCCAATTTTCAAATTTCATCAAGTCTCTGTTTATTATATTTCGAGTCGGATGACATTTTATATCCTGATCTCGTTATCATATCACGAAATTTAGTGCAAATTACCGCACAGGAATGTGCAATTTTTCAATCATATAAATAATTTGTTCAGATGACGGTTGAAATTTGCAGCCGGCTCTGCTACTATACCTCGAATCCTACGAATTCCATCAAAGTGACGAGCATGGGTCATTTAACTATGATATTCGAGTTCAAGGGATTTCAGATTTATTTGAAAGTGACCACCTTGTAATTCTTGCACCAACCGCGGAAAGGTGTGAGCAGGCCTATAGCCTCCATACAGATCTTGCTACAATCATAGTTACAATCATGGGTTCTGTGCACTGTGCAGGTTCTGTGACTACCTCTTGTCGTGTTCTGTGATCAATGCTTGTGACATTTAAAACAATGTCATATGTCAGTTATTATGATTTTGATTTTATGATTACTTTTACTTGTTTGTTCTTGTTTGGTGGAGATGGTCTTGTGATTTTACTTTGAGAAGTATGTAGCCGTAATAGTTGTGACCTTTGATGATAGTTTATCGAAAATGTCCACTTTAATGTGGTCGTGCCCGTGTTGTTTGCATTTCAAGTTCAGTCCCGAGGAAATAGAGCAACGCCACAAGAGCCAGGAAATCGACAAGATGATCGAGAAAGACAAACAGGCCATGAAAAGACAAGTGAAGGTGCTCTTGCTTGGAGCTGGCGAGAGCGGAAAATCCACTTTCCTCAAGCAGATGAGGATAATTCACGGGATAAAGTTCGAGAGTCACCTCATCAAGGAGTACCAACAAGTGATCTATCAGAATCTAGTGAAGGGGATGCGGGTGTTGGCGGATGCCAGAGACAAACTGGGTATTCCTTGGGGCGATAATAACAATGGGGAATCGGGAAGGGAGTTGCTTCTGTTTGACAACAGTTTGTTGCTGGATTCCAGGACTTTTAGCCAGTTTACACCTTTGCTGAGTAGGCTGTGGAAGGACTCTGGCATTAAGAGGGCATTTGAGAGGCGAAGAGAGTTTCAACTGGTCAGTACAATCTAGTAGTTTATTCAGGCATGAACTTTTTCAATTCCACATATCCCATAAACTTTCCAAGTACACAGTTATCACTTATTAGTAAGGATCTAGAATTTTCTGATACCTACTTCAGTATTGTCCTATCAGGAGTCAGGACCAAATTCTGTTTTTTAATACATTTTATTTTTAATGATTCTTCTATTCATGATCCTGAACCCTGATAGGCATTTATGTCATGTAGACAAATTTTTGTCCTGATTGTTCAAGTTTTCCTGTTTTCTGAAAAAATATATTAAAATTTTCCATCATCAATATTGAGCAGTGATAAAAGCACTTTTCATCTAGTTAAAGATTCTAAAAGTCACCCACATAATTATCTGGAAATAGGATTATTAATTGGACACAGGATGTCTCAATTTAGCACAATTTAGGTACTGTTTCATTTCTGTGTTGGAAATAGAATCCAGATTAGAATTACACAAGGAATTACATGTTCAGTTATGTAACAAGATTTTGGTGTACTGATAAATTATTGATGCATTGCATTACAATATTAATTGATAAATTGAAAACATCTTGGAAAACAAGGAATACTGTGCAGATGGCTAGCAATAAATAAATAAATCTTTCATGTAAACATATTTAAAATAACATTTCAATATTTTTGATATACAAATTATACCTACTAGGTATAAAGCTTTGTGGATTATTCTCAATGATTGTGATTATCATTTTCAAATACATACAGCAGATCAACAAGTTCATGTGCTCTGATAGGTCTTTTTTTATCTTTTGGAGCGCCCAAAAGGAAGATTATCATTGTGGTTGTGGAACAACATGTACACTCCTCATAGTCCTCACACATACCTGGGGAAGGTAGGGAGAGAAGATGAGTATTGGAGTTTTTCCTCCAGTTTTTCTTATTGTTAGTGGTAATAACTTCATGAGAATGGGAGAGTTTTTATAGACAAATGGTGATCTGATCTAACGAAATCATCTTATATGCATCATTATAAATTTGCTGATATTTTTTTTATTGGTATTTCAATTTTTCAAATTTCAAACTATCTGGAAATATGAATGATTTTTATTAATACTCCTCAATGTTTTACTATTATTATTAACAGTAATTTTCTATTTGGCTAGATATGAAAAATAACTCAAAAATGATAATATCTACTGGTTTGCAGTCATATTTTTCTTGAGCAGTTCTCATTTTGTTAACAAAAGTATGGAATATGAAGTCATATGAGATTGATGCTCAGTTGAATGCAGTTAGCAGATATTTTTATAGACCCACCTAATATAGGAAGTTCAATTATCTAACTTGAGCAACTGGTATCTTCAAAACTATTGACTTGAGGACCTTATGTTCCTATCTTTATTCCTGGATCAAAGCACCAGTTTTCGCACAAGGTTGTCCGTTGTATTTCAAAACACCCTGTATAATAGGTATTTTAGAACTTCACACACTGAGTAATCCGCAAAAATCATTGTTTATTAATATACCAATGGAATAATAATTGTTAGTGTTGTTATGTTTGCGTTCACGGCAAGCAGTAACTGTTTTATGAAGTTCATGCAAAAATCTAGAGTCAAAGATCCATTGATATTGAGCAACAGAGAGTTGTTTACCACCAATAATTGAGAAATTTACATTGAAAGCTGGATGGACACCGATAAATTTCAGTGATTCCATGTCAAATCATATTTATTTTAATAATGATGAATCCATTAGTGACTCACAAACTTATCTTTGGCTACTATATTCTCCGGAAAACAGTACGTTTACATGAAACTTCACAGGATGCAACAAAGTTACAAGAAATTTGTTTAAAAATAAACAAGACAGTACTCAAAATAGATATTCTCGCAGATACAGATATTGATTAAAATCCGAGTAAAATCTGAGAAAATAAATATGTAGGTATGTACAGGGTCTTCACTTATATTTTGAACCCCCCCTTAACTATTTAATTTATCATCGCATTTTTTTTTCAAAGATCAGTCTGTTATAATTTTTTCTGTATATTTTGAATATAATTGAACATTTCAAAAACAAGTTATGGGTAAGATATATAAATTATTAAACGGAACACCCTGTATTTTATTGCATTTTTAGATTTTCCCTGAAGAGCTGATTTCATTGATGTATCACAGTTGGGGTCTAGCTGAAATGATTACAAAGATATAGGGTGTGAAAAATTGAGATTGTTTCTTTTCTCAACTTTAGGAATTTTTTGTGTTGAAACTATTCATTATTGGCCAAAACGGTTTTCATGTTCCTATCTCAACTCTAGATTTACTATCTACTTACATTTAATTGGAACACATACAGGGTGATCAGTATTCTGAATTTTGAAATACCCTGTATTCCCCCTGCAATGACACCCTGTAAATACTCATGTGAAGTTGGCACCATTTATTCAACTCAATTTTTTAGGAGTTCAGAGTGGATTTGATGGGGTTCTAGAGTTACTGAATGATATTTTGAATAGTTCCAGCAAATCGTAGATGTAAATGAAAAGAAAAAATTTTGAGCGCTAACTTCACGCAGCGCCGTTTTTTTCCAGAAAATTAAGCAAATTATTGAATAATTCGTGGAAATAAAATACAACACTGTGTTTCTTTTGGCGGTATTATCTTGGTGAAATTCTATTCTGTTCTCTTCCATATTTAAATCTTATAATTTGACAGCTGATTGAATGAAAAAGATCGATTCCTTTCTAAATCACAATAAGAATATTTTGAAGAACTTGTCGAGCGCTACTCAGAACTCTCATCAGAGCTGTTATATTCTTGGAAATTAAATAATTATCGATTATATATTTTCTAATGATTTTCCTTTTTTTTGTCGAAAGCTTTATCTTCAATAGGCAAGAGAACGGAATAGTATTCCTCCAAAAGTTCATGCCGCCTATAGATATTATGTTATTTCCTTGAACTACTCAATAATTAGAACTATTGATAGGTTAAGAACTTCAGAACTCTTTATAATACAACGAAAAAATATACCAGAGAACTCGTTTTCTCGAAAAAAACGGCGCTGCGTGAAGTTATTGCACAAAATTAATGTTTTCCATTTAAATCTACGATTTGCTGGAACAATTCAAAATTCTAGTCTGATGGAACTCTAGAGATACATCTAATCTCAGAACCAGAACACCATAAAAACTCCACATAAACTATGCAAAATAAGTTAAAGATGAAACTTTATCATTAACATAATGCATTACAAAATTAAAATTGTATATCCATTTCATTAACACCTCGGTATAGTGATAACGATAACACGCAGGAGGTTATTGAACTAGGTATCTAGATGTAATTCAATATTCGTCGTGGCATATAGCCAGGAAAGTAGTTGTTTTCTGTTGAATAAACCGAGAAAGAATTAATATTTTCATCACATGGAGAATGCGAATTCTCAATGTATTTCTTTATATATATCCATTTTTTTGTGTTCATAAATATATCTGAGAATATTTCTTTTCAATAGGTATCTAAAATTGAATCGTCAACATAGTTTTACAAAAAATCCATGTGATGTTCATAAATGCGGCGGATAAAATTTGAGAAGAGGTGAAATGCAAAGATGTTTTCGTATTTTTATTATCGGGACTACCTACCTACACTTTATTGCCGAAATATTGTTCCCGACCCAAATCACGTGTTTCTCAAGGTATTTTCAGGTCATTTTCAAGGTAAATAGCTAATTTACCTATCTAAAAGATTATACTTAGTTGGGTTTCTAATTATTGTGTATGAAGTTGAGTGACCGTTTTTTTATCTTCTATTTTAATTAGCCAAAGTGATTTACTAATTTGAAAAGTGTGTTTGTTAGGGGTATCTCAAGTGGATTCGCCCTAAATGTCCTTTCTCATCATCAAAATGATCTCAAGTGGATCTGATTCATCTGGAAATTCCACTTGAACAAACCGTTGCTCATGAAATAATGTAAACAATGTTTAGAATGTAAATTAACTCTTTCTACAACATTGTTACACAGGAGATCGGCTTACTTTGACATCGTCAGACATTGTCTAACATTCTTCTGTTTGTTGGACGATGATTTTGATCATAGTTGAGATGTAAAGACCTTCACTTTCGATAAGATCTCCACAAAATTCTTAGACACACAACAACATAAAGGGTGTTTCAGATTTATCTATCTATCTATCCATACTTGCTAGAAATTTTTCACTTATATGACCCATCAAAACTAAATGAAAATCGGGATCAGAATCCAGGTCCGTCTTGAAGAAAAATGAAAACTTCTTTCATTTCAAAAACAACACTCTGTATGGCGAGAACAGTTTTTGTTGAACCAGGGTTTTGAAGGTGATATTATTTTTGAAGAATGAGATATGTATGTGTTCATTCCAAGTATTCAGTATATTATTAACAAGAAGTATTCAGTATATTGGTTAACAAGCTTGAAATGACAGTTATTTTCCACGAGTACCTATGAAGGTTACAGCATGAGCCGTAGGCAGCATTCTGTGCGAGTTATACACTATACTTGTTCTCCGGATACAACATGATATTATATCTAATAACGAAATGATTTTACAACAGATATAACATGAAATTCAGATCAAATGTCATACAAAAATAAAGCTATCATCAGAAGAATATTCATTCACATTCTGTGGGAGATGTGATTTATTGTATGATAATAACCACAACTGTAACACAATGAAGTCATTGTTTTATCAGGTGAAGAAATTAAAGACATACAATGTACCGAGCAATGTACCTCTTTGTGTTATCGAAAACTCGATCGAAAACAGTTGAGAAAGAGCAGTTTTGAGATATATCCTAATTATCCTATAGGTATATGGTAGATGTATAGAGAATCATTTGAAATAATTTAGTGTAGAGTATGGGCATTCCAAGTTAGTTGATACAATTAAAAAACAATTTAATCAGCAGCTTGATAAATTCAATATGATAGAGGTAGTAGGTGTATTCTTTGTTGGAATTATCATGATTCTGAGAATCATCGTCTTGGAATTTATTTTCACCTACGTTATCAACCAAGTGTGTTAATTTCGTTTTTCATTTTTCTAAACATTCAATTTCTTCCACATTGACACCAACTATAACGTGATTGAATGAGATATTCGCATGACATCATTGTTTCTTTCTAATGAATCAGTCATTAAAACCGAAATTTCCACAAGTTTATTATTTTTTTATGATTGGTGATTTATTAGATAGGCTCATAAAAGTAGGTAGGCAATAAAGATTATGATAAATATAGAAGCGAGTATAGAAGATAATGAGGAAGATAATAATGATAATATTAGGTAGGTAGCGAGGTAGGTAGGAAGTACATGTAGATAGTTTTCATTTAGGTACGTAATTATAAAAAAACCTCGTAAAAATACAAGAAAAACAATTGAATTAGATTGCAGTTCGTTTTGAAAAATAATTGAATAATATTAGATTTTTTGTTATTGATTTAACGAGAGGGTTATTTCGTGCATCATTTAAAAACCAAGATAACCGAATTAGGATGAGCCGGACATTTTTTGAGTCCCATTTCATGGAATATTTCCTCGAAAAATTGTTTGTCTTTGTTTAAATCGTGATTTTTTGATTTATACTGTTTTTTTCCTCAAATATGGAAATACCGAGGGAAATACGGAACTTTAAAATCATTTGTTTTCATTATTTCTCTCTAGAAAAATGTGTTTCTTTGAAAAAATGTTCTTTATTATACAAGGGAAAAAAGTAGTAGATTTTAGCTCCAGGTTGTGTTGTCTCCCGGCGCTTAGCAGAGGGAGACAAAAAACCGTGAGCCAAAATCTAATATTTTTCCCGTGTATAATTCACTATTATTTTTCTGTGACAGAAGAGAGGACGAATCAATATTGAGAAGATATCACTTTTTTCTAAATCTGAAAATTATCGACGTGAAATTTGAAGTTTTTGACAGGAGGGACACCTGCGTTGTAGGCATCTTTATCATTCTTTCGAAATAATCAAATATCTGATGTCACTTCTGTCAGTCTAATTCTATGATTTGATTTAAAAAAATTGCGAATTTAGTGGTTGTTTAGTAATTTACGTAACCGCGAAGTCGAATGGAAGATAAAAGAACTTGCAGTTATTTTTCGGAGACGGTATTATTGACTTATTTAGGAACTATATCACAAGAAATAAAAGCCATCAACAGTGTATATACAGTGTGACCCAGTTCTATTGGAAACACTCCTGTATCTTATGTAATCGTTGGGTAAGGATCCTGAAATTTTCTGGAGCGAGAGATATACCAAAAATACACTATATGACCAAGTGGGGGTCATCTTCAGTAATATATACACTGCTCGCCAAAAGCCATGGAAAATAGGTCGAAAATCACTTCAGATTAGGAATCAGGACGCCCAACTCACTAACTATTCATATTTTTCCTAGAAAATTTTCAGTTGTAAAAAATTAAATTTGGTCGCACTTTTTACGGAAGCATTCCCGTATCTTACGGAATTGACTTTATCTTTGGACTTTCCTTTTCTCCTGCAAATTTCAGAACCCTACCTCAATAATGACGTGAGATAGGTACGGGCGGGTACGGGGGTGCTTCCATGAGAAGTGAGACAAAATTTAATTTTTCTGAACTGAAAATTTTCTAGGAAAATTATGAATAGTTAGTGAATTGGGCGTCCATGATAGGTACGGGGGTGCTTCCATGAGAAGTGAGACAAAATTTAATTTTTCTGAACTGAAAATTTTCTAGGAAAATTATGAATAGTTAGTGAATTGGGCGTCCTGATTCCGAATTCGCAGTGATTTTCAACCTATTTTAACTCCTAATATCATTTTCCGGAAATTGGGGTGGTTTCATGGCTGACAAGTATGTTGTTCATGGCACTTTCCTCTACCACTGTACAAAAATTTGCGACTACAGGATTTGTTCCCCTATTCGCCCTTCTTTGGCGTTCCAGACGTACTCTTTTGGTTGTGTAACATGCATTCAATAATTTTACAATTTCAACCTACTTTTGTATTTATCAATCTGGTGCTGTAATTCATGTTATTTCTCTGTTATATGACTGTACTTCTTTTGACTTTCATTTATAGCTTATGTATTCATTATTTTTTCCACCACTAGCTATAAAACCTACCTTTATTTACTTCTTTTCGAGGTGTAAACTGTGTTTTTACTACCAAGGTAGTTTTCGTCATTATATGAACCGCTAGTCAATAAAGACATAGCCACCTCTGTTATAATTAACCCGAATTCACTGTTCTGATGCGAGAATCTAGCAATCTTCTTCTTCTTTTGGGTTTATTGGATTTCTGTCTCCTTTCGGTAACAATTTCTCCAGATCAGGTAATTAATAAGATACCGTAGTCTGTCACCATGCCCGGAAGCCGAGTTCATCAATGTGAAAGATTCTATCGGTATGTGCTCATGCTGAGCACGTTTGGTTTCAAGTATGGCCCCCTTATCCGATGAATCCGTCATCATCCGGCCTCTATACCGGCGTAGAGATAAAAGGGCTTGATAATTTCCACACACACACTTATTAAACTTCATAATAAATATTGGATTTTAATCCAGATCGGGTGATTAAAAAAATTTTAGACTTGCACACACATTAACCTGACTTTTGACCTGGAGACGCCATGTGTCTCCTTCCATGGTCAAAAGGCGAATCCAGAATCTAGCAATGAACTCAATATAAACACCTTGGAATCTAGTAGGTATTTATCAATATTGACTTGTCATATGCTGTCATTGTCATGGCTACTAGATTTTAATTAGAATTGAAAAGAAGTGCTTTCATTGTGACGATAGGTTCATGTTTCAGTTTCATAGAACTAAAATGATTGAAATGTATTGCTATAGTGGTGAAACAAATTTAGTATACACCTTGGTAGTAAAGAATCGATAAAGAATATTATTACCACCGGACCTCATACCCCTCGGCTGAAGTCTCGGGGTATAATCTTGGTCCCTGGGTAATACTTATATTATTTACTACCTTGGTGTATAAATAACTATTATCATGCTTTTCTATGAGATTTGTATCTTCGGCAATGAAGTATATTTGATTGATCATCAATTTATAAGACAAGTGCCATTTTCTTGTAGAGCGACTCTGTAGAATATTTTCTGAACAACCTAGACAGAATATCGAAACCCGACTACATACCCACCAACAAGGACATCCTGCACTGTCGAAAGGCCACCAAAGGCATCACGGAATTCGTCATCCACATCAACAACATCCCTTTCCTGTTCGTCGACGTCGGTGGCCAAAGGTCTCAGAGACAAAAATGGTTCCAGTGCTTCGATTCGGTCACCTCAATAGTCTTCTTGGTGTCCTCATCCGAATTCGACCAGGTAAGAATCGAAAGGTATATAAAACTGACACAGCCAGGAAATCATCTCATCTAGTATTTCATAACTATTATTAAATTATCTAACTGTCGACACCAACCCCGAATTTTTTAACTCTAGCGGTTAGCGAGAAAATTGTGTGGTGCAGCCAATGGGGAAGACCACTGAGTGATAAAATCCCGCCAAACCTCTTTCAATCGATGAATCATGATTATTTACATTTAATGTACTATCGATATTGTAAGTTGAAGTTGAATGGAATCGAATCTGTAGCGATTTGAAATCAGCACATTCCATTCAATATTTTGAAAAGCCAGATATTAGTCCCGAACTGTAGCTATCTGTCTCTGATACCTAGCCATTCTGCAGTGTGAAGTGTGATTGGTCAGCTCAAGGAAAACACGTCACACAGGTCAGACCAATGAATTGACACCAATTCGAATGACAGAAAGTGTGTGATTTGATCTGGTGGTAAAGTATCCATATATTGAATTATCAATTATTCGAATATTTGATATACCAAATATTTGAATATTCTAATATTTATTCAACTATTTGATATGGAATATTTGAATATCCCATATATCAAATAGTGGAATATTCAAATATTAGTTAAATCGAATATCGGATATAGCGATATTCAATATCTATTTCTTAATATCGCCCAGCTCTGGTTGCAACTGTAGATTTGGCAGTCAAAACTTCTTTTATATACACCTGTCTTAACTTACAGATGCAACTGTAAATTAGCCCTAATTTGTTCACGGTCGACATTTGACGCCATTGTAGTCAACTTCACATCACAAAATGTCTAACCATTGAAAATACTTCGCGCACTGCATGTAAACTTTATGGGGCTTTTGTATGTTAACCTTTATGGTCCTCAATCAAGCTAAAATCCAAGAAATCATTTATTTCTAAGGCTTCTTAAGCCAGTTCAACAGTGTTTTATATTAAACGGAGCATATTTATCAAAACACTTTTTTTATTTTATTTTCAACTTTTTTTTAGTTTGGCTATCCATAAAAGCGTTTTTCTTCAGTTTTTCATAATACTATTTATTTTCTACTGCTTTTTAGTTTGGCTATCTATAAAAGCGTGATGCATTAGTTTTTCAAACTACTATTTGTTACAAAGCTCGTTCGCCATATTGGATCAGCCATCTTGAATTTCCCAATTTTGACGAAAGAATCATAATCTCCGACCCCGAAAATCCCCACATACAAATTTTGAATAGAATCGGATCATAATTACAAAAACTTGTCCGCCATATTGGATCCGCCATCTTGATTTTCTAATTTAAAAATAATTTGCGACCGATTCTCAGACCTACCAAATGTGCACAAAAGTTTTCAAAAGAATCGGTCAAACCGTTTCGGAGGAGTTTGGCAACGAATACCATGGCACGAGAATTTTAAGTATTAGGTTTTTTGACGTTTTTTTTTTAAATATTATGGTGATCTCTACTATGTTGAAGAAATCAGTTCTGGAAAGTAGCATTTCGCGCACTAGATACAAAATAACTTTTTCGAGTGATGAATTTGCTTAAACCAACTAGTACCTGGTCATAAACTGTCAATATCTGATTGGTTTATACAAGTGACCTTGGCTAATGAAAATTTATTACCTTTCCGTTTATATCAATCTGATGGCCAGTTGTCACCTAAAGTATTCTCATGTTCATTATTATTATTATTAATATTATTATTATAATTATAATCACTCTTAGGTGTTGGCGGAAGATAGGAAAACTAACAGGCTGGAAGAATCCAGGGACATCTTCGATACGATCGTGAACAACGTCATATTCGGCGGGGTGTCCATCATACTGTTCCTCAACAAGTATGATTTGCTGGTGAGGAAGGTAGCCAATCCGGAGACCGACATTCGCTGGTACTTTCCGCAGGTACGGTATTTGGTATTTGTTTCAAGTACCAACTAGTCATTAGGAAGAGAATCCGAGTCCATGAAATAAAAATTTGAGGTGTTTATCCTATGACCAGAAACAGTTATCAAAATGTTACAACTTCAACGTTTTTCGGATCATCAATAAAAAAATTAGCTTCATTTCTACATAAACATAACTTGAGAGTTGCTTATGGAAAAAAATAACACGTTGTGAAGGTTTCAAAATTAAAGAAGACAGTATTTCTAAATTGGAGAAATCAGGAGTATACAAACTGAACTGTGAATTTTGGCCTGAGGTATACATTGGTCAAACAGGTAGAATATTTAAACATCGCATTAAGGAACATTTTATGAGTTTTTTAAAAAAGAACATGAATTCAACATAATAATATGCTAACCATATATTGAAAAGAAATCATAGATTTGATTACAATTTCAGAGTTTAACAAGTAGAAAATAATGGAAAACTCAATCATCTGGAATCATTGGAAATTAACAAAGCAACATTTCTTAGATTTTCCTCAAGGATCATTTAAACCTAAACAATCCTCCGCTTTTGAATCTGTTTTCTAAGTAGGTAATATTTATTTTGCTATGGCTCCTTTCAAGTTATTCCGCCACACTGGAATTTCAATGTAGATATTGTCATTATTGTGCATATTTTCGGAAATAAACGATTAGCTAGCCTGTTCGCAGGTAGTTTTAATCCTTCGGGTCAGTAAATATATATGAGTTAGGCCAGCCATTGTTTGGTCCTGCAAATTCCTGTCAGTACAATATACAAGAAACCCTCCATTGTTTAAATAAAGATGCGTTAAAAATCTGCAAATAGTCTATTGATGTCACCTCTTCATAGAAGTGAAAGAAAAAATATATCCGAATAAAATATTATATTTTTATAGAACAAATTTATGTAATTGGAGGAAAATCTGCGGACATTTGCAAAATATGTTGACATGAAATACATTTCGTCTTGAACAGATGAAAAGAATACTGAAATCAAAGATGACAATGAATGAGTTCTAAGAAGAGTTGTTCACTACCACTCATAATCAAGATTCTTGTCAGATTAGAACCTTTCACTGATAATATCTCATACAAGGTGTCCCAGAACAATGTACCTTAAATTCTACAGGGTGAACTACAGACCAAAATAGGCCGATTGAAGTCAACTCACCTCTAATATATATGTAACCCTTGATTACTCGCGCTAATTAATTCGAACTTTTTCCCGCGCGGTGTATTTTGTACACCACCATGAATTTGACTTGTTTTTAGGTGAAACAAAAACGTATGCTTTCCTAACCCCGCACAAGTTTCGACTTATGGGGCGTTGGATCGAGTAAATGCAATTAAAAAAAAACTGTTTTTATTGTGTCCACATAATACACAATTAACGTGTTTGTATACAATATTGAATACTTAGATAATTTACCCTATTTCCCACGCAGTGTATTGTATTCTAGGCACCAACGGGCACCAACGTGACAACGCGTCAAAATTTACGTACAAACACACACACAAAACTGATCTATCACATCCCAGACATGTCAGACATAGGTTAGGTGGGAGTCTAGAGCCACAAAAAAATCTACGTTCGATAGTAGCAAGAAATTTGGCGCTGGTGTACAAAATACCCCAGCGCGAGTAATTAAGGGTTAAAATAGTTTATTCGGGCTTCAGATTTAGCAGAAAAAATAAAAATATTATGGTAAGCCATTTATTATCATTTCATTAAAAACACAAAATTAAGTTGAAGAACTAGTTACTAGAGCAACATCTACCATGGCCCACCCAGGTAATGAAGGCACTACCCGTCACTGACTTGGATTTTATCACATCACTGTACAGCGTGGACATAAAACTGAGGAGTTCCGAACTCATTTTATGAAAATTTATCTAAAGGGAGCTTCCCCATTATGTATTCTCTGGAGTAAAATAAAATATTCTCATTTTCCTCAGAAAAATTCAGAATTATCTTTTGAAATTGCACAGTTTTGATCATCATCCTGTAGAATGTCATTCTGAGGAGGTGCAATAGTAATTTCAATAGATTCAATAGTCAATGAACAACCATTCAGAAACTGAAAATAATGGGAAAATCTGTTGAGGCAGTCAAAAGTTGAAATGAATCAAAATCGATCGAAAATTTTCGATTTTACATTTCCAGTGCTGATCAGTTTATTTCATTACAGTTCAGCGGCAATTCGCACGCGACGCACGAGGTGCAATCCTTCATTTTGGCCATGTTCACTGGGGTGAAAAGGGACCAAAAGAAGCCTTTGTACCACCACTTTACCACCGCCGTGGATACGGAGAACATCAAGGTGGTCTTCAATTCGGTCAAAGATACCATATTGCATCGTAATTTGGAGATACTGATGTTGCAGTGAAGTAAAGGAGTCTCAAAGATAGCCAGTGCGTGAGTAACAAGCAATAATTTTGAGTATCATCGGACCATGATCACAAAATTCATACGCCATCTTGTAGCTGCCATTTGGAATTCCTCAATTTTGATGAAAAAATCATAATTTCCGACTCCGAAAACCCGCAGATACCAATTTTTAATGGAATCTGGTCATAATTACAAAACTCGTTCGCCATATTTGATCCTCCATCTTGAATTCTCCGATTTCGACGGTGTTTCTTGAAGTTTTGCACGAAATTTCAAATATTTGCAAAATCTTCCAAGGACTTTTTGATAATATTCAGACGAGTCATAAAGTTCTGAGGCATTCCAGGAGGTCCCAGAGACTTCCAGAAAGTTTTCAGATTACTCGAGAAGTTTTATGAGAGAGAATTGAAAAGTTCAATTTTGCATTGAATTCTGAAGAATTCTATAGAAAAGGAACATCAATTGCTCATTATTGCTTTTTCTCCAAACAAAAACTGACAAACGCTTTTATTAATTAATTACAAAGTTCGTTCGCCATATTTGATCCTCCATCTTGTATTCCCCGATTTTGACAATTTTTCTTGAAGTTTTGCACGAAATTTCAAATATTTGCAAAATCTTTCAAGGACTTTTAGATAATATTTAGACGAGTCATAAAGTTCTCAGGAATTCCAGAAGGTCCCAGAGACTTCCAGAAAGTTTTCAGATTACTCGAGAAGTTTTATGAGAGGGAATTGGAAAGTTCAATTTTGCATTGAATTCTGAAGAATTCTATTGAAAAGGAACATCAATTGCTCATTATTGCTTTATCTCCAAACAAAAAGTGACAAAAGCTCTTATTAATCAATTACAAAACTCGTTCGCCATATTTGATCCTCCATCTTGAATTCCCCGATTTTCACGGTTTTCCTTGAAGTTTTGCACGAAATTTCAAATATTTGCAAAATCTTCCAAGGACTTTTAGATAATATTCAGACGAGTCATAAAGTTCTGAGGAATTCCAGAAGGTCCCAGAGACTTCCAGAAAGTTTTCAGATTACTTGAGAAGTTTTATGAGAGAGAATTAAAAAGTTCAATTTTGCATTAAATTCTGAAGAATTCTATAGAAAAGAAACATCAATTGCTCATTATTTCTTTTTCTCCAAACAAAAACTGACAAACGCTTTTATTAATTAATTACAAAGTTCGTTCGCCATATTTGATCCTCCATCTTGAATTCCCCGATTTTGACGGTTTTTCTTGAAGTTTTGCACGAAATTTCAAATATTTGCAAAATCTTCCAAGGACTTTTAGATAATATTCAGACGAGTCATAAAGTTCTGAGGAATTCCAGAAGGTCCCAGAGACTTCCAGAAAGTTTTCAGATTACTGGAGAAGTTTTATGAGAGAGAATTGGAAAGTTCAATTTTGCATTGAATTCTGAAGAATTCTATAGAAAAGGAACATCAATTGCTCATTATTGCTTTTTCTCCAAACAAAAACTGACAAACGCTTTCATTAATTAATTACAAAACTCGTTCGCCATATTTGATCCTCCATCTTGAATTCCCCGATTTTGACGGTTTTACTTTAAGTTTTGCACGAAATTTCAAATATTTGAAAAATCTTCCAAGGACTTTTAGATTTTATTTATTCAGACGAGTCGTAAAATTCTGAGGAATTCCAGAAGGTCCCAGAGACTTCCAGAAAGTTTTCAGATTACTCGAGAAGTTTTATGAGAGAGAATTGGAAAGTTCAATTTTGCATTGAATTCTGAAGAATTCTATAGAAAAGGAACATCAATTGCTCATTATTGCTTCTTCTCCAAACAAAAACTGACAAACGCTTTTATTAATTAATTACAAAACTCGTTCGCCATATTTGATCCTCCATCTTGAATTGCCCGATTTTGACGGTTTTTCTTGAAGTTTTGCACGAAATTTCAAATATTTGCAAAATCTTCCGAGAACTTTTAGATAATATTCAGACGAGTCATAAAGTTCTGTGAAATTCCAGAAGGTCCCAGAGACTTCCAGAAAGTTTTCAGATTACTCGAGAAGTTTTATGAGAGAGAATTGGAAAGTTCAATTTTGCATTGAATTCTGAAGAATTCTATAGAAAAGGAACATCAATTGCTCATTATTGCTTTTTCTCCAAACAAAAACTGACAAAAGCTTTTATTAAATAATTACTAAACTTGTTCGCCATATTTGATCCTCCATCTCGAATTCCCCGATTTTGACGGTTTTTCTTGAAGTTTTGCACGAAATTTCAAATATTTGCAAAATCTTCCAAGGACTTTTTGATAATATTCAGACGAGTCATAAAATTCTGAGGAATTCCAGAAGGTCCCAGAGACTTCCAGAAAGTTTTCAGATTACTCGAGAAGTTTTATGAGAGAAAATTGAAAAGTTCAATTTCAATTCTGAAGAATTCTATAGAAGAGGAACATCAATTGCTCATTATTGCCTTTTCTCCAAACAAAAACTGACAAAAGCTTTTATTAATTAATTACAAAACTCGTTCGCCATATTTGATCCTCCATCTTGAATTCCCCGATTTTGACGGTTTTACTTGAAATTTTGCACGAAATTTCAAATATTTGCAAAATCTTCCAAGGACTTTTAGATAATATTCAGACGAGTCATAAAGTTCTGAGGAATTCCAGAAGGTCCCAGAGACTTCCAGAAAGTTTTCAGATTACTCGAGAAGTTTTGTGTGAGAATTGAAAAGTTCAATTTTGCGTTGAATTTTGAAGATTTCTATAGAAAAGGAACATCAATTGCTCATTATTGCTTTCCGATTATAATTTCCGACTTCGTAATCCCGCAGGTACCAATTTTTAATGGAATCGGGTCATAATTACAAAACTCGTTCGCCATATTTGATCCTCCATCTTGAATTCCCCGATTTTGACGGTTTTTCTTGAAGTTTTGCACGAAATTTCAAATATTTGCAAAATCTTCCAAGGACTTTTAGATAATATTCAGACGAGTTATAAAGTTCTGAGGAATTCCAGAAGGTCCCAGAGACTTCCAGAAAGTTTTCAGATTACTCGAGAAGTTTTATGAGAGAGAATTGGAAAGTTCAATGTTCAATTCTGAAGAATTCTATAGAAAAGGAACATCAATTGCTCATTATTGCTTTTTCTCCAAACAAAAACTGACAAACGCTTTTATTGAAAATACCAAACAATTTCAATGTTTCTAATTTTATCATTGTATTTTTCAGGTCTACTGAAGAAGACAACTCTTGGCTGAAAATAGGTAATTTAGTGGGTCACTGAATGGTTATGTGCTTCGCGAACATTCTCGAATCTTCGTCATCTGCATTGACTATTTATGTTTCGATTTTGTCAATTGGCTGTGGTTACGCGCAAAATATTGTTTATCAAAGACTGACTTAGTCTTAATTCCTCGCTTTCGAAGGGTTCACAACTACAAGTACAGGGTATCCCACATAACATGGGCCATCCCCTTATCTTGTAAACTAGAATAGATACAAAAACAATTGAGAATCCAAGTTGTTCATACATAGTCTTAGCAAGTGTCTTTTTTAGATAATGTCAACTATACAGGATGATCCATTGATCCATATGCCTGTGACATACCAAACATACGATTCAAATAGAATATCCTGAATTTCATTTCGTCCTAGGATAGAGCTCAGAAAGACGAGTTCAATGATATATGATAACATGGGTCTGACATCGCCCGTTTCCAACTTATTCATGATCTTCTTCAATGAGTATAATTTCAAAATCCTCTAAAAACGTGAATCAAGTTCTCCATGTGTGTTTCTTAAATACTTAAGAATATTTATAGAGATCTATAACATAAAACGCTCATGTAGAACTTTCCACAGCGTTTTTAGATTGTTTTGAAATTAGACTACTTATTAAGAAGATCATGGATAAGTCCGAAAGAGTAGGTTGCGTTCAGCCCAAATTTCGATTCACCCAATTTTCGATTCGCCCACCATCTCCGAATATACCCGAACGATGCGTTGTTGCCAAATCTGAATGAAGAATCATTCTGGGCTTATCATTATTGAGTATTCCAATTTTTTGATACACATAATATGCATGTATGGTACAGGGTGATTCACCATAATATTCCCACTCCCACCTCTAGCTCAGTTATTTTTGAACCGATTTTCGATAGAGTTTTTTTCCGCTACATCAGAAAATACAAGGTGCTCGGAACAAACGATCTACGCTACAGGGTACTATTTGATTTTTTTAAATAGAACACCCTATTTTTCATTGTATGTTTAGATTCTCTCTGAAGAGCTGATTTCATCAATGTATCACACTCGGGTTCTAGCGAAAATGATTACAGAGATATAAGGTGTTCAAAATAGAGATTTTTCAACTTTAGGATTTTTCTGTGACGAAACTATTCATTATCGGTCAAAACGGCTTTCATGTCCGTGTCTCAGCTTTCGATTTACTATCTACTGACATTTAATAATTGGAACAGATACAGGGTGATCAGAATTCTGAATCTTGAACCACACTGTAGATGTTCCAATTAAATGTCAGTAGATAGTAAATCAAAAGTTGAGATAGGGACATTGAAGCCGTTTTGACCAATAATGAATAGTTTCGACACAAAAAATACAAAAGTTGAAAAAGCTCGATTTTGAACACCCTATATCTCTGTAATCATTCCCGCTAGACCCCAAGTGTGATACATTGATGAAATCAGCTCTTCAGGGAGAATCTAAAAATACAATGTAATGCAGGGTGTTCCATTTGAAAAAATCAAGTAGTACTCTGAAGATCGTTTGTTCCGAGCACCCTGTATTTTCTGATGCAACAGAAAAAAAATTCTAAAAAACCATTTCATATGATTTTTCAAATTTTTAAATCGGTTAAAAAATAAGTGAGCTAAAAGGGGGGACATTTATGGTGAATCACCCTGAACATATTTCGATTGGCCCAATTTTCGATTCACCCAATATTGATTTGCCCAATTTTCGATTCCCCCAATTTTCAATTCGCCCAATTTTCGATTCACCAAATTTTCGATTCGCCCAATTTTCGATTCGCCCAATTTTCGATTCGCCCAATTTTCGATTCGCCCAATTTTCGATTCGCCCAATTTTCGATTCGCCCCAAATTCGAATCATCCAAATTTTGATTGACACAAATTTCGATCGACCCGAATTTCGACGTAATATAAGGATGGAAAATATTCTTTTCTGCATAAAGAAGGAGACTGCCTTTTCCAAACTACCTAACCTAACCTACCTAACTCGGCCAAATCGAAAATTGGGTGAATCAAAAATTGGGCACATCTGAAATTGGGTGAAACGAAATGTTGGCCCAACAACATATTTGAATGTGAAATTACTGTTGATAATTCCCGTTTCATTGAATTCGGGGAAATGTGGCATTATTTGACAACAACGCATCTTTCGGGTATGTTCGGAGACGGTGGGTGAATCATTTACCACTGAACTCGTTCTTCTGAGCCTTATTCAAGGATGAAATGAAATATATGATGTTCCATTTCAAAATTTCGAGAAAATGATGGGTTTGCAAAATACGTCATCACCTTTGGCAAATTCAAAATTCCTAAATATTGATGAAATATCAAGATAACATATAGAATTTGGTAATTCATGTTGACAACTGTGCCTCAAAAACTCGATTCTCAATGTTTCTATAAGGCTTTGAAATTTGGCTATTCATTGAAAAAGAACATGGATAAGTCCGAAATGGGTGATCTCAGACCCATGTTATCATTGAACTCGTCTTTCTGAGCTCTATCCAAGGACGAAATGAGATTTAGGGTATTTCATTTGAAAAATAGGTGTGTCACAGGCATATGGATCATCCTGTACAGTTGACATTATCTAAAAACTTCGATTCTCAATTGTTTTTCTATTTATTCTAGTTTACCAGATAAGTCGGTGGCCCATATTATGTGAGATACCCTGTACAATTCAGATAATGAAAATTCGCGATTCAGGGAGAATCATAGCGCATTCGCTCGATTTTTGCAACCAAAGATGTAGACCAGGACCCGACGGAAGCAATAACAAGCTTATGAAAGTACAGGGTGATCCGTAATTACTGGTCACTATACTATTCCAGAATAACAGAACATTGGGGTATCATGTACTCTTTTTTATGTTTCCAAAGAAAAACAATAATAATTATAATTTTCTTATGGAAAATGTGAAATGGCTAATTATTGTGTGCCAACCAAGTTTGAAATTGGGCCTCTAATTATTGATACCCTGAATCTGTGTATCAGACACTTTCAAATTTGTATAGTCTTCCCAGATAACCTGTATTTATAATATGATATCCATAGTTTTTATATACAGGGTGTCCGTTAAAAGGAGGTCAATCCATTAACCACATATTCCTTGAACAAAAACAATATGAGTTTCTACATACAATTTTTCATTTCAGCCCTTCATATTCGATATACAGGGTGTCAAAGTTGGAAATTAAAAATTGTTTTTTTTTTCTAATTACTCGCGTATTTGATAAGATATTAATCTGAAAATTGGTACATTACTTCAGCACAAAGAGTTACATTGTGTGAGGAAAACAAAACAGAAAATAACTGTCAAATATTCAAAATACTGGGGGTCAAGTACACACTTACCCCCATATTTTTTTGTACGTGCGCTAATGACTTCCTATCTATTTTTCTTCGTGAAATTTCGATAAAATTATTTGTTTTTAAGATAATTCGAAAAGTATTGGTTATTGTTTGATGCCTATGCGGCTTACGTTAATCTCATAATGTTCACATACTCCTATTTTTTTTCGTCGAAATTGGAAGAGGGCGTAACATTTTACGTACGAAAAGGTAAATATGGAAATACCGGGTGCTCAGAGCGAATACATTAAAATAATTTTTTCGAAAAAAAATATGAAAAAAATGAGGACACATGTCGAAAATAGTTTTGCCAATCGAACGGCGTGAAATTATTTTTTACGTGGTCAAACAAAAAAAAACATTTTTTGGAATTTCGGGTAAATAATGATTCTAGGAGGATGGGGGGTCGATTGACGAGCCCACCCTCTTAAAGAATTATTAAATTGATTTTTTTCGAGAACAGCAAATTTAAAAAAAAATTAATATCAATTTGAGCGGTTCTGGGGGGTGCGGAACTTTTTGAAAATATTTTCGGGTGCGAACGAACGGGAAATAAAATCGACAAAAATTTACAAAAATATTTTCGGAAATTTTTAGTGAAATTATGATATCCATGATTTTAATAGCTACTTGATGAAAGAAATAGCAGATCAGGATTATCTGGGGATGTATGAAAGATTTTGTGTATGAGCCATATATTTTTCAAAGGCTAAGATTCTCTTTAATTAAAAGGGCTCGCATGTGTTTTCAAAAAATTGGAGGTCATATCGAGCAATTCATTTAGACGTGTTAAATTTCTATCATTTCTTTTTGAAAAAATTATTTTATTACATTCGCTCTGAGCACCCGGTATTTCCATATTTAACTTTTCGTACGTAAAAAGATACGCCCTCTTCCAATTTCGACGAAATAAATAGGAGTATGTGAACATTATGAGTTTACCGTAAGCCGCATAGGCATCAAACAATAACCAGTACTTTTCGAATTATCTTAAAAACAAATAATTTTATTGAAATTATACAAGAAACAAAAAATACTCGAAAATGATTGAACACTTGAAGAAAAATATAACGGAAGTCATTAGCGCACGTACAAAAAAAAATGGGGGTAAGTATGTACTTGACCCCCAGTATTTCGAATATTCGACAGCTATTTTCTGTTTTGTTTTCCTCACACGATGTAACTCTTTGTGCTGAAGTAACTTTCCAATTTTGAGATTAATATCTTATTAAATACGCGAGTAATTAGAAAAAAACAGTTTTTAATTTCCAGCTTTGACACCCTGTATATCGAATATGAAGGGCTAGAATGAAAAATGGTATTTAGAAACTCATATTGTTCTTGTTCAAGGAATATGTGGTTAATGGATTGACCTCCTTTTAGCGGACACCCTGTACTTTACTCAATGATATTCTTGACTGCCAGTGTGCCTCTCAACTCAATAAGCAGAGATATTGAGATTTTAAGTACCTATTATAGGAGGTGTTTTATTGTATTTTGACTTATTGGTAAATGCATGTTTGGATGATTTCCTTTTACACAGAAGATTATTTTATTCCAAGAAGTTTTATTTATGTCAATTATTTTATTCAGTCTTGGCCTTTATTCAATTTTTTTTGCCGTAGAAAAATATTGTAATTGAATCCTGATATTTGAAAAAACACGGCTGGTTTAAATGTACAGGAGTTATCAATCTCAGTGTAGATATCTGTAAATAATTTTTCAAAGAAATATATTTTGGTACCTATACATTTTTTGATATTGTTAGTCTATGGTGATGTTTGTAAATGTTATAAGGGCAGCTTTCTGATATTTGATTTCTGTTTTTTTGATTTAGTTTACCACTTGAGTGATATGAAAAGGTATTATTTTAAAAATTTTAAAATGAAAGAAACAAATTGTTCATAAAATCATGGAATTCATATGTGCTGTTCAAAAATAAACATACCTTGATATACAACAAAATAGTAAAATAGTGCCTTACACTTTTTTGAATTTTCTCTGTTAAATCATAATAAACAATCTATTCCCCAACTAGCTTTGTAATACATTTGTAAATATATATTTCCATAAAATATTTTTTTATTTGTTAATAAAAATTATTGTGAATATTTGTTAGTTTGAATATTTCTCATCTGTACATTATGAAGAAACTGATAATGAAATCAATAACTTTTTGTCAACATCTCTTTCCTGTCACCTACAATAATAAACTTTGATGTTTCCAAGTCGAAGATCCATCCTGTATAAAAGTTGTTGCCACAGAACATCATATCGAAGCACAGAATGAAAATGTGATAAATAGTTTAACCTGTTTAACCGTGACGTAGTTTCCGTTTGGGTACACCTCCCTAGAAGTTAACAAACCTTATGTTGGTCATCTTGAAGGCGCTAAATCGCATAATCCGTTCCCAATTTTCCTTGGCTTTCCTTTCCCACCCTAAATGATCGATCCATTTCACCCAATAAGGACTTGATGATGATTATATTTTATGCTATTTAGCTTCTTTTCTCTTTTCCTCCTGATGTCCAATCATCTATCAACAACAGGGTTGTCATAATCAATTACGTTGATTTACACATCAATTAAAAGATAGATAAACAACAATTATTTCTTCTTTCGGATTCAAAATGAGGTCATAACTGGGTAAAGTGATAAAATGAAAGAAATAGGACTTCAAAAATAGTTAATGTTGACGTCATTATGACGTAGCTGCTTCCCACCACCTTCAACACAATACTATTACCTGGTCTAACGGGTAATGGGAATGAAAAATGAAATATCCCTCATTCATTTTGATTTGAATGTTTCCATAAGTTTCCATCATACCCTCCATTTTTCACATTCATTATTTGTAAACAAATATTCAAGTTTATCTTTAACCAGGTTCACCAACTATGGAGTTGTTAAAAACTCAGAGGCCTGTTCGTTTGTATTTCTAAACTTGCTAAGGTTGATTTTTTTTCCCATAGTTGTCTCTGTTCATAGCATGATGTAAACAGAGAAAGTCCTAAAAAAAATCAAGTTTAGCAGGTAGGGCAAGCACAAACGAACAGGGCTTAGGGGAGGCGTGTTCTCATTACCCGTCATGGTTAAAGCTGATAATCCCATTTCATTGTGGTTAGCCGTGACGTAATTTCCGTTTGAGTACACCTCCCCTATCTTACTTCCATCATTACCCCTACCTGCCCTTGGGCATAGTTGGTAAAATTGGTTACGTAAACTTGATATTTTTTTTACAAATTATGAATGTGAAAAATTGTGGATATGATGGGAACATTTGAAAATGAATGGAGTGGATGTTGAAGTAAGAGACACACAGGTAAACTGTGGAAGTGGATAAAGTGAAAGAAATAGGAATTCTAAAATAGTTAATGTTGACGTCATTATGTGTAGTTGTCTCCCAACCACCGTCACCTAGATACTCTAACCGGGTTAACGGTTAAACGGGTAATGTGATTGAAATATCCCTCCAGTTTGATAGTGCTGCCAACTTCATTTGTTTCATGAAATCATGACTGAATTGACATTGACAAGCCTGATATGTCATTCGAATTTTCATTTTCTTTTCATTATTTGAAGAAGAAATTTTAAAATGTTTGTCGAAACTTGGAATATCTTGAGAGAAACAATTGGAAATGTGAAAAATGCTGAGGTATTCGACGTGAACACTCCAGAAGATCTATACAAACTCTTTTTCTTTTGCCACATATTTTCCTGGATTGTGGTCCTCTGGAAATTGAGAGATTGAGAATTTCAATGTACTGTTCAAAATTTTAGTCTGTAAATTTCGAATGAATTATATACCTATCATTAATAAATTGCCTAAATTTCTTTATCAATAGAAATTTCAAATTTGAATTTGAAATCGACATTGACACCTGTTTGGCCGTGCCGTGACGCAGGCGCAATGATTTGTTTACATGTTTCACTAGTTTCAGTTTGAAATAGTTTCAAACAGGAAACTCAAGAATTTTTCTAATGATGACCATTCATTTTCCCATCATGAAAGGAAACTTATAGTTCGAGTATGGGAGATCAGTATATCTCGTCTTACCACATTGAAAAATTAGGTGAGCTACTCTATTCCGAATTCATAACTGGTTTGTATTCAACTGAACTTATCAGGGCACAAACTGCAAGAGATTCGTGAAAGATCCCTTTTCAACATAATATCTAAGCTTGAAAATGGAATTTGCTTCGACAATGACCTGGCTAGAACCAAGGAACTCATCACAAAGTTGTTCAAATGGTTCTTGTTTGAACCTTGTACTCAAGAAGAACTTGTATTTGCACTGCTCAAGAGAATCTTAAAGGTAAGAGTAAAGGAAGCATTTTATGGAAGTATTATCCTTAAGTTTCAGTCTGAATCTGGTAAAACACTCATTAACCACCTAGGAAAAGAGTTGATAACAAGAGAGCTTCAACAAACTAGAACTTATCTAGAACCAAAGTTTTTGCCATTACTTGATGAAATCTCAAGCCTCATAGAACAAGATACAGAAGGAATAGTTCCACCACTGGAATGTGAAATACCTCTTAGCTATAGAACCTCCAGCACAAGTAATATAGGAATTACCCCAAATTTTGGCACAACTGCTACACCTATTGAAGGTTATGTGCAGAAAGCTACATCAGTTGAGCAACAAGGAGGATATAACAAGAACTCTGATAGCTTGTCTGTAGAGGATCTTTCAACTTATAGAATTGAAGACAATGTTGATTGTACCAGTGCTTTCTGTCTGCCAAATTTCTATTTTGATTGGCAGTCCCTCATTGAACCTGATAGACATGTATTATATTCCATTGAAAAATCACTTCTTGAGCCTCCACAACCTGTGGCACTCTTACATGCCTGTGAGTTTTTTGCAAATGTTCTATTGCATGATTTTCCTGCTGAAATATTCTTACAGAGACCTAGCATAATTTTGGTGAGTAAATGATCCAAAAGTGTGTTGATGCTGATCTTAAGATGATGATTTGATATTGTAGGAGTTTTTCAATTTAATGTCTTGTGGATCCACTCGTATTACAAATGCTGTTTTAAATTGTCTTTGTGATCTCACTGAGGCTCTGAGAATGAGAATTCATCATTGCAATGATATATCAATGAGAAATTGCAGAAAAGGTGTAGGTAAAATGTGTAAATATCACATAAGTCTATTTCAAGCTATTTATTTTTCAAAATCAATGAAGTTATTCAATTGATTCCCCCAGATGTGTGTAGATGGATAATTTTCATTTTTCAGTGTTCATCAAATTCTAACCTATTGACTGATTGTTCTCTACTGAGTGTCAACAGAGGTTCTGATAAACAAGATGTTCCTTCTGAAATTGTTGAAAAATTTGAGACACCAGAAGATGTTGAAATTCTTCTAAAAAAACAACTTTCTACTCCAAAATTCTGTTTTATGACTGCTGATACTGTTTTCAAATATCTCTGTGTGAAACCAGAAATTCTTAATGATAGAAAAGTGAAGTCCAATCAGGTAGGAAAGTGAATTATCTTAAGTATAAGCATAATGATTCAAATATACAGTGTTTACAGAAACTAAAAAAAAAAACAGTATATGATAAAAATGTTTGAGAATTGTAGCTCAACTCACTTCCTGATATATTTTTGTCATGTGTCATGTGAGGAAGTTATAGAGCTGTATCTTATTTTTTGTACACACTGTATATGCAAATATGCTGGTGAAAAGAATATTCAGCAAATTTTTTTAGGTTGCTATCAATTTTTGTCTAGTTTTACTAGATAAGTTGATAGATTTGATGAGACTCTGCTTGGGGAATAAAATATGGGATGAAAAACAAAATGAAAAAACATTGTCTGTTCTGAAAGATTTTACTGAAATTTTTGTAAAATATGGAATGGCACTAGAACATTTTCGGTAAAAAATTAAACAAATGGGATATTCAATGACAATAATTATTGAACCTATTTTATTTTAAGGCTGGAGTCCATGAGCTGTGATAATAATATAAAATACAGGGTGGTATATATTTATTTACTTCTTAATTGTACAAAGTTACTCTCAAAACTGGTACCAGTAGACAAAGCACATATCATTTTACCCAGGAATCTCAAAACTGCTCTATCCAACTGTTTACTGGATGTTACATTTGGCAGGCTTTACCAGAATGCTCACAATATGATTCTAAATTATGTACAGGTGAAGATTGAAATGTTACCAATTGGACCACAATGTAACTGACTAATTTGGTATTTTTAGAATTTTAGCTTAGGAGAAGAATGTAATGATTATTTGAAAAAGTACAGAGATGTGAAACAAATCTGCATAGGAATCACTTCTACTGTTAAATTTCTCAAACAATACAAAAATTTGAGTTTCACTGAAAATCTTCGCCTAGCTGTAGAATCATTGCCAAGCATAGAGTTCCATAAAGATCTTGATTATTTGAAAATTTTTGTTGAAGTTTGTTCTGAGAAATTACCACAGACATTAAATGGAACTGCAAAAATGTCCACAGTAGAAGGTAATGTACATCAAAATCAATGTAAGAAATGTAAATGATAATGAGGAAAAAACTCACCTGAGCAATAATATTACTGATTGTTGCAATTAATTTTCCGGAATTTTCAAGTAAAATCCAATTCAAAATTTAAATGTATACACCATGTCCCAGCTAAAATGTCCCCCCCTGTAAAAAATCAACCGCGTGATCGAATGACTTGAAATTTGGTCACCCAGTATATTTGATGATGCTCACTCGAATTATGCTATTGAATAAATCGTAGGTATACAGGGTCACACCGAAGTGCACCTCAACTTTATTATTTGAATAGGGACACCCATTAATTTTTTTTTTCTGTGACGGGAAAAAAGTTTGGCATTTCATCTCTGTTGGCAGGTTATAAAATGTCACTTTTCATAAATTACTTTTTTCCCGTGGGCAAAAAGTGAGTACTTTTTTCCTGGATATATATCACATATATATACACTGATGGCTTTTGTTGTGCTATAGTTCCGAAAAATGAGTCAATAATACCGTCTCCGAGAAAGAACTGCAAGTCCTTATCTTCGATTCGACTTCGCGGTTACGTATATTACTAAACAACCACTAAATTCGCAATTTTTTGAAATCAAATCACAGAATTAGACTGACAGAAGTGACATCAAATATTTGATTACTTTAAAAGAATGATAAAGATGCCTATAGAACGCAGGTGTCCCTACTATTAAAAACTTAAAATTTCACGTAAATAATTTTCAGATTTCAAAATAATGTAACATTTTCTCAATATTGATTCGTCCTTTCTTCTGTCACAGAAGAAAATAGTGTATTATACACGGCAAAAATATTAGATTTTAGCTCACGGTTTTTTGTCTCCCTCCGCTACGCGTCGGGAGACAACACAACCTGGAGCTAAAATCTACAACTTTTTTCCCTTGTCTAACTATTTTTTTTTTGCTTTTTTTTTTGCAAGTAGAGTTCATTATTGCAAATTCAACAATGCCGGGTTTGATGGTATTTTTTCAAACGACTACGAAGATATGGCAAAAAATCAAACGATTCAATAAAAAATTTATAAGATTAGACTTTGTTAATATGACCCGATTGAAATTGAATGAAAAGAAAATAATTAAAACCTCAACTGCTCAATATGTCGTCCATTCTGCTGCAAACATTTCCTAGCTCTTCTGATAACGTTCATTGTGACCCTATGTATCACGTTGCGATCAATTTGTGTGCATAAATTTATGATTTTCTCTTTCATTTCTTCCATATTCACAATTGGCGACTCATAAACCTGTTGTTTCAAGTAGCCCCACAAATAAAAATCAAGTGGGATGAGGTCTGGCGACCGAGCTGGCCAGTTGCTATCACCATCTAGACAATTGGTGGTTATCAGATTTTAATCATTTTCTTTTCATTCGATTTCAATCGTGTTATATTGATGAAATCTAATCATATAATTATTTTAGTCCTTTGAAAAAATCCCAGCAAACCCGGCATTGTTGAATTTGTAATAATGAACTCTACTTGAAGATGGAATAATATACTGGGTGTCCCGATTCAAATAATAAAGTTGAGGTGCACTTCGGTGTGACCCTGTATATCTACGATTTATTCAATAGCATAATTCGAGTGAGCATCATCAAATATACTGGGTGACCAAATTTCAAGTCATTCAATCGCGCAGTTGATTTTTTACAGGGGGGGACATTTTAGCTGGGACACGGTGTATACTAACTTGTTTTTTCGTTGTATTGTGGTGAAACTGATTTTCAATATACAGGATGTTGAAGAGTCATCTGATATTGAAGACTTCTGAATTATTTATTGGGTTGCTTATTTGTTTCAGAATTTTATATATTTTTTTGGATAGTTCTTATATAAGTATGATGACTTTGTGGATGAGAATTTTATTTCTTCAGGCAATAAGTATATTCGATTTGGTTTTATCTGAAGAACTGTTAGATATGGCTCAATATTTTCAGCAATAGTGAATGGAAAACAAAAAGTATCCATTAGTTTCAATTCGACATTGTCGTCACGGGATCGGATAAATAATGGGATCGGATCAGATGTCTAGAAAAAAATGACACCCAGTATAGCTTCTGCGAATGTATCATTATTTAATAACCATACTACCGAAAGTAAAATGCTCACCGAATTTTGAATGGATATAGCTTTTGTTTCAACAGGGAAAAAATTCAAGCAGCTTCAACACCCGGTATATGGAAAAGAAAAAACATCGATATATTTTCGATTTTTCTATCGATTGTAGAAGTTAGACAATTTGAACTTGGTTACATGATCAGCTAATGATTCCATTTTTTCTTGTAGAAGTTGTACTATCACTTTTATCACATGGTGTTATGGAAATTAGAGAAGAAATGTATAGACTTTGCCAGAGAGTTGTCATTTCGAATATCGGTCCAAAACTGAATATGTCCTATAGTGGGGTGGCTGGATCTCAAATCTTGTTCCTATTAACCTCGAAAATTTTAGTAGAAATAGCGACCTTCGGAATGACCAGTGACAATTTAGAGGCAAGTACTTATAATTCACGATTTTAATTGATTCTTGCGGTTTTTCAATCTAAATTACACAAGAGTTTTTTTTTGTCCAAGTAAACATTTCAATAAGAATTTTTTTGGCTGGGAATGAAAAATTTCTCGTCTTACGGACGACGACAACAAAATTCGAATTATAAATGTCAAGTTTATTATGACCCAAAAAATGGATTTTTCAAGTCATCTACTCCAAATCGGGTCATATCCACAGATAATATAGTATTCTGACAACGCAAGATTGAGAAACTTTCACATAAATGCCATCAAAGAATGATTCCAAAAGCTAGGTGCCGTTTTGTCACTGCAAAACTTCTGGCTTATTCGATTTTTTACACATGAGTTGAATGGTCATTCAAAAATGAAAAATTTCAGATACAAAGATATGCAGAAAGCATCCTAACCTATCTGCTCAAGTCAAAGATTTTGATATGCGAAACAATTTGGGATAGAGCCGTTCAAGCCCTTTTGCCGTCTCTACCGATCATAGCTTGCCATGCGACGAACAACTCGATTTTGGGAAAAACTTTGATCAGTCTTATGGACCCAGACGCCTCTAAAGATGCTTGCATACCGAAAATATCGATGCTCAAGTGCAACATAGAGTTTCTGTTTTCTGAGGAGGTTTATTTGCGAGAGGAGGCCTTTTCGAGGATATCTTGGCTGATATCTTCTCAGGAAAAGTCGAGGGAGATGTTGCCTAGGTTCAACACCCTGTATGATAGCTCGTTGTCTACCGTTTGTAGACTGAAAAAGGTGGTGGATGTCAATAAGTCGAGACGGACTGAACACTTCTATCAGGTAGGATCTGTTGATTATTTTCCTCTATTCATTTGTAATTAGATCAAGTCAGATGATTTGTTTCAAAATATTACTGCTTCTTTGTTTCAATTTCTTTGTTTTATCGAGGATTGTTCCTAGGCATATATTAGAGTAAAATGTATTAAAAACATGAAGCTGCTATTGTATCCATGTCACTTGATACATCTTGATATCATAATAGAGAAGAACACTAATTTCTAAAAATAAATACTTTGACGTTCAACATTATAAATAAAGTCGCAGACATATTTTTTGATTATTTTGTTCCTTCTAGATTTCTCAGTTTAAGTTCCCTGAGAAATCCTTTCCTTAGAACATGACGGAAAATCGTCAGCTGTACTGACGTCTCAGGTACTATAATGCACTGCTCGTGTATTGGTATCATATTCGATGATACACTATTCAGTGAGATAAACAGCGTTGCCGTCTCAATCGATTCTTTGACTTGTTTGAATATCTTAACATTTATGCTTCCAAATATTTAATTGTTTTCAACCATGTCTTGGATGAACTGACCAAGACAGTTTAAATCTCACTTGTTCTTGTTTTCTTATAAACTGGGCTGGGACATATTATGACATATTATCACAGCTTGTGAGTACGGGAATGGTGAACCCGAGGCACCCTAGCCGGATATTCACAAAACTTTATCTTACCTTGGGTGATATACTCTTATCTCTTCCTTTCAATCTATCCTATCGGCCTTCCTTGGCCAACTTCTCTTTTCCTCTTTCCCTTAAGCCCAACCTCACCGTCAAGGGGTGTGGGGAGGAGAGACCGCGGCCGCTCGATAGATGAAGCATTCTGGGACCATCTTTACTATCTCCAGGCCAGATGGGACAAGTTGTGGACATCTGAGCAAGGATGGGGCGATTTGCTGATATCTGTCTAGGTGGCCAAGGACTGGTCAACGAGGCTCTGGCAACCTAATCAAAGCTATGGGAACCCGTGGCGATGGATGAATGGCACCGAGGTATGGTGTCGCTAACGGGGCCTCTGGGAAACAAGGCAGTGCTGTTTTGATTTACAAAAACGTCAAAACAGCAGTGTCAAGAGTACATTAAGGAACTCTAATTCCAGCTACCCCTGAAGGTTATTGGTTCAAATTCTTCTCAAAATGTAGGTAAATACATTAAAACGTTGACGAGTCTCGGTAATTTTTAGAAAAATCATTCACCTTTCCGCTAGCGAATTTACTCCAGTTAAAGTCTCCACACTGTAAAATCACCTTCTATTTTAGCCTAGTAGTTTGCATCAAGTGCTAGAAGTCCTCGTTTCGAAGAACGTCGAACCGGTGATCAGGAGATCCGCCCTGAATCAGATCAGCGTCATGATGGAGGATCCTTTACTGCATACCATTTTCTTGGACGCCAACGGTCTCGACATAGTCGTCGACATTCTCAAAAGCGCCCTCATCGAAAACGATTTCACCAACTATCCGGATGCCGTGATACCGATCGTGTCGATTTTGAAGAATGTCTGTTTTTATAACGGGACGGCTAGAGAGGAGTTGAGTTTGAACGAGGAAGTGTTTTTTTGCGTCTTGAGAGGTATATTGCCGTCGGAAGTTTATGGGTGAGGCATAACTTTGGGTCATTTCAGTTTCCCCAGAGCTTTTTTGAATAGCGACGAAAAACATTGCACCTGGAATATTGGAAAATAGTACGTTGTTTTTTTCACGAGCGGCAAGTCACTTTTCCGAATGAAACTATTTTTTCTGCAACCAAAATAATTGATGTCTACCTAATGAAATATAAGTGTAGTAAGAACTGATAATGAATTATTGGCATTATATTATATATTATAACTCATTTGAGCATGTCAGGGTCAGCAGCTATCCTAGCAGCTGAGAGTAGTGTGTCGAACATCTCATTTCACGCTCTTCAAAGGCGGTGGACACACTTGTCATATGATTTTAGAAAGCTGAACAAAAAACATAAGACACAAACATGCTTCTTTGTCGACCTCTACAAAAAATCACATTTTACGTTCTAATTTCCGAACGAAATCATCATTTTATTGTGACAGTAGGAGAAACGTCATAACTTCATGAGCTGATTTTGTAACAAAAATGGACAACTTCAGTTAAAACAAAGACGTTTGGAACAGAAAAATAGAATGAAGAGATTTTGTATATCTTGTAAAATTTATTATCAAATCGCAAAGCGCTTTCGGCTAAAAAGCCTCGTGCTCTTCCAGGACCTGAATTAAACAATTATTTGTGAATGTATTTTTGGAAAATTTTACAATAACCCATTAGGGAACTTTTTTGTTAAATGTATGTCTGTTCCTAATTCCGTTTGTACCATAATGATGTCTTTTGACGAGTAAGTAATCTACACTTTTGGATTTGTTTTTTGAAATTTTCATAAATACTTATTACTTACATGCAGGTATAGCACTGATGATGGCTTTTTAGCCGAAGGCGCTTTGCGATTTGATAATAAATTTTACATGAAATACAAAATCTCTTCATTCTATTGATCATTTACGTGTATGCAGCTACTACAGATCTTCACGTTTGGAACGGAGCCAAAATTGGTATAGATTCAGAATAAAGTACGCCGTTTTAGAATTCTTGGATTTTTTTTCTTATGGTGTCGTCAAAAATGAGAATTAACTCAATTTCAGTGAATCTGCTTGGACCAACGCCAAATTTAGCGCAGATTCGGAATCTGCATGTCATTTTGAGTCAGATAAAGTTATATTCTTGGAAAATAAGCCGTGTTACGCATTTTTAATTTTTTTCTCATGGCGCCCTTTTCAAGAATGATCAATAACTCAATTCCGGGTAAACTTTTTGGACCAGTGCCAAAATTGGCACAGTTTCGGAATATGCATGTTGCATGTCATTTTGAGTGAGAAGAAGTGATATTCAGGGAAAATGGGCCTCTATATATTTTTTTATTTGTTCATATGATGCCGATTTTAAATATGAGAAATCACTCAATGGGTGAGTGGACTGATAATGAATTATTGGCATTCAATTACTCCAGTGTGTCGTTAGGAACCTAAATTAATTTTTGCAACACTCCTCACGTTCTTTTATGTAAATAATGAGTCTATGCGTTGTTAGAAATTGTTGAATTTCAGAGCTCATTTCAAATGAACCTTCATGGCCGCCATTTGGCGATACGTCGAATAAAAAATGGTGACCATGTTTCGTTATTGGTCAAATAATCTTCAATTTCCACCCATGAAGCAAGATTGTCAAGTCACCAATTATAATCAAGTTATCAAAAAGATGTTTGGGTCCTGTCGTTGAATTAACCATAATAGGAGGAACTCATGACATTATAATTCATTCTTGACTTTTTCGATCAACCAGCATGTCCAAATATTGGCACAGATTCGAAATCTGCGCATCTCATTTTGAGTTCGAAAAAGTTTTTTATGAATAAAATCAATCCCTTTATAGTTTTTTGATGTTTTCCTTATTATGTGACCATAAAAATGAGAAACAAACTCAGTCCTGAAAAAAAAAATAATCCCAGGAGAATTATATGGTATAGCTGATGGAAACAAGTAACCCAAGGTTATGAATTACCCTGTACAGGGTGGTCTTGTAACATCGATATTTCCAGGTCTCTTTTTGTTTTTCACCGAGGATAGGATGAAGCAAGACGCCGCAACACTATTGTTTATTTTGATATTCAAAGATTTCGTTGTTGGCAATCCGTCCATGGCAAATTTTTCCCTACCGCACATTGTGACAGAAAAAATGTTGGTGCCATTCATATGTGCTACTCATTGGTCTGTCAGTGATTACACCAAAGAGAGTCTCAAAGGTACATAATAGTCATTTGTCCAGCTGGTGCGAAAAGTGTATTTTTTTGCACGATCTTAGAAACATAAATTTTTACTTATAATACCACTAACCAAAATTTTTTTCGAGAACACGAGTATTATTGAAAATTCTAAATATTCGTGTTCGAGAAAAAATGTTTGGTAATTATCGAAGCTAGAGTGATATTCGGTAAGAAAATGTCACACCGATATATTATAAAAACAATCTAGGATGAGATAACGCGATAACGCCAAATAGAATACAGAAAAACGACTTTAGTTACGCCAAATAAGGCAGCTTGTGGTGGGTCTTTTGTTGATCTGAGGGTAGTTCGAACCATTATGTTTACTAACTTAATTCCACTAAAGTTGGTGGAGATATATTTTGTTACAAGGAACTGGAAGCAGTATGTTTGATTGAAATATAATTTTTCGGCAAGGAACTTATCAACTTATAGTATGAATTCGACATAATCTGAAATTTGATGTAAAAATAATTTTACCTGTAAATGACAAAAAATGTCTAGTGCAATTTCATGCTCCTTGCCCCAAAAAGGAGCAAAACATTTCCGGAAATTTGGTTAGATGCTATGGTAATAATACAAAATACATGTGGTCGAAAATATTAGGTGTGGCATTTTCCCTTTAACGTTCTCTAGAAAATTCAATTATCACGTTGATTTTTATTTATGATTTAAAAAAGGCATGAGCTGCCACCATGTCTGATCAAATCTTTTTTTAGATAAAATAGTTGCTGATAGGTGGTGTCTGAGTTCAATTCAAATCCAGTGGAATGCAGCAATATTCGGAGGCTTCGAGTCGTTGGTACACCATGAAGAAATAAATTACGAAAGCCATTCAATGTTAGATTTTGTGGATGTATTAAAATTGAGCAAAATCGACTTGAGAGCTATCAAAGCTTCCTGTATCGAATTCTGTGTCAAACACTATTTGAATAATATCCAAAACGGGACATGTCATGATATGGTCATCGATTCTATTGATCACTTAACTCTGTAAGTTGATAATAATGAGTTGATTGATTTCAAAGTAATCGCTCACCTCATGGGAATCTCTCTTAGACATAAATATTTCAATTGAAACTCTGAAACACTCTGTCTACATTTTCTTGGGGATTCAAATATTATCATTGTTTTCCTCAAGAGAAATTATGAGTTCATGTCAATTTTGTTGTTTGTTCAAATAAACTTGCTGTTTGTGGAATTTTAGTAATTTACAATAAATTCACTGCAAAATCATATATGAAATCACTCTGGTATATTTTTTAGGTACGCCCACTTATACAAAGTTGTGAAGTATTTTGATGATATACAGGATGATCAATGTTTTCTTTTGCAACCATGGGAAAAATCATTTGCTAGATTTTTAAAAGTGTTGCCGTCTTGTGAAGAAGATTCCTTATTGTTGAAGAAAGTCATCCAGTTTTTATCCGTACTAAGCACCATTTATACAACAACCGGTGAGATTTATTCTCTTTCTAACAAAATTTATTCTGAATTTGAAAACGTGAGTTTCCAGAACCCGACAATTGGATAACATTGTTTTTGAAGGACAGTGGTCAGTCCTTACTGGATTTGCTCAGCATTGACAGTACAACAGACGAAGAAAGTAAAATTGTAGGCCAGGAGATATTGAAGTTGATAACAATTTGTGTGAAAAAATCTCAAAATTACATCGATAGCTACCCACCTAGATCCGTTAAAGGGAAACCATGGACTCACGTCATCAAAATGATCGCGGAGAATTTGAAATTCAGTGAGACCCAACATTTCTACAATTTAGGTGAGTGATAATTGATCATTATATTGAATCGTTCGTTACCACCGATACAAAAAGGCCTCTATGCTCTGACGTAAGCACCCCGTTACGTCACGTGGTAGCCCGTAAGGATTTGTTCATACGGCACGCGGCTACTTAAGGTTAGTCGTGATTTAGGTTTTTTTACTAATACATTTGTTGATTACTCTCCAAAATGAACACTGTTTTGTGGAATCTTTCATGTGTTGAGCGAAATAATATTGTTGTGTACCAGAGGGTCGAGGAAATTGAAAAAATTCTCCAAAAGTTCATGTTTTTAGTTTCCTCTTGTATGTTGACCTGTCCAGAAAGTGGCCACGTTTATACCGTGTCTTGGTAAGCTGACTTATGACTATATTTTAACTAAATACTCTTGGTTAGTGTGGTATAAACTGTACACTTGGTAAAGTTACCAGCTTGGTTTGGTACCGAATCTTGTTGTATACTATATTAGTCTGATATGACCAAAACGGTGTATACAATTTGGTCTACTTTATAGTATAGCTTTGACTTGAGTTAAGTGCGAGTATCTGTTATTTCATGAGTCTTCATAACAATTTTCCTTTCAATTTGAGCTAATTTCGAATCCTACGAAAATGTATTATTCATAATTAACGAATTTAAGTGGATTTCCACAACCTAACCTCAAAAAAATAATCAAATCAAAACAAAGTTTGTAAAATACTATACCACACTATACTAGTATAAATATATTGATCTATAACAAAACCAATTCGAAATTATAACAATATATTTTAGAATTCGAAATCTCAGACAGATGATGTTCCTACTCCATTCCGAACTCTCCATTTCATTTATTAAAAGATGTGAAAAATTAGAGATACACGATACTACTTCGGCAATATATTTGATTCGAATTCGTTTCCGTAGGTAGGGTATCTGTATTTTATTTCAGTTCATCGTTGGAAATTGACCGGCGTCCTCTATTAACGAGAAGCCTTTCAAAAAACCATAATCATCGACTCATGAAATGATTTAAAACTCAAATAAGGCGTTCGATTTTCTCGGGTATCTGGTAGGCCTACCTAACGTGACGTCACCGCGCCTTATAAACCATATCGGTGGTAACACTTGAATCAAAATGAGTTTTTCATTTCCAATTTTATTTTCAGCTTATTTAGATGCTTTGCTTTCCTGCCTGGTGAATCTGACTGCCACTCTGGGCTGGAGCGATTCCAAAAAGAATACCGAATCCAAAAATCTGCTGACGCAGATGGTTTCTGGGTTATGCGAACTTGTGGGGGCTTTTCATTCAGGCAAAGGGCCTGTTGCAGCTATTTCTGTAATGGGATTGAGCATCACGAGACATGTCTTGTTGGTGCTGAATCACCTACTTGCAGAACTACAAAACGAAAAAGTGAAGGTGATGAATCATAGAAAATAATAATGATCAGGATGACATTTATTTTGCTCAGTAGCCTAAAGGGACAGTCCTATTTTCAAATTAGATAGACAAAACGTTGATATCGGTACCTGAAAGCCAATTTTTATTTCAAACATGATAGTGAAAAATTCATATACATATAGTTATTGTTGAGAACCATTTTTCCTGCTGTGAATTGTTTCCTTCAAATTCGATACAATACACAAAAACATTAACGACCACTCGCATCTTTGATATTGAAATTTTTCCCTGAAAAAAAAATCGTTACCAATTTTGCTGTTTTTAGGGATGGGAAACCAGTTTTTTCGATGATACTGAAGGTCCTAACCCCCTGCTGAGTTTTGTAGCATTATGGTCTAGCAGAGACGTGATTTTGAGGGCAGGAGCCCTACAGTTATTCAGTGGATTGGCCGTATCGCCCAGAGTTGCTATAGAAATTGTAAACGGTCAGTTTTTTGATACAATTTTTTTATTGACTTGACGTTAAGATTCCACATTCCGAATGATCGAGTTTCATTCCATCATTTTCTACCTGTAGGATTTCGAAATTTTTATTGAAATTATAATTTTTTCTTTCTTTTTCTTTCTGCTATTAATCAATCAATCAATCAATACTTTTCAAACTTAGGTAGGTTGTGTTTGTATGTATACCTAACCCCGCTCAAGTTTCGACTTATGGGGCGTTTGGTCCCAGTGTTGTTCGGAAGTCGGGATTGGCGCAGTGGAAGAGCTTCCGTCTCACGACCACAAGGTCGTGGGTTCGATTCCCAGCACGGACAAGGAACTTTTTTCAATATTTTATTTACGAATTAAATATTGTAAAGTTTCGGAGCATCGGCTGGGGATAGTCCTGCACGATTCGCTGTTGCGTTCCAATTAACAGTGCTGCTCCTAAAGTGGCGCATGGAGTTAGTAACAAAGCCTACACAGAACACGCAGAAAGATATGATGATGTGGTTGTGAGCATCAGAGAAGAAGTAGGACGGTGTATGTAGGTGGGTGTGGAAAAACTACCAGCTGAGCGTGAGAGCGGGCCAGCTGCTTAAGTAGACCTCGGTCTCGTGGGTTAACGATGATAGTTAGCAGGCCTGCCACTGCGCATATGGTAGTGAGTACATTACTAGCCTACAAAACACAGCTGAAAAACTCTGAAAAGAGAGCTGATGGGCGGTGCCTGAAAAGGATGTTAGCCAGCTCTCTTGAGCGAACCACATCAGTCATTGAAAACACTTGGGGTTGGCAAAAAGGTCCCATTGGGGACTAGTTGCTGACGTGGAAACGTCCCCCACCAGTACCAGTACCAGTACCAGTTGGTCCCAGTGCTGGGACCAACGAGGTATGCAATTGCAAAAAAAAAGATGAATTGATAAAGAAACTTTACCTGTAGGTAGATAAAACTGTCAGTAGTGTTAATGATATGCAATATATGGTTAGCGTTTATTGAATATGTTTTTTTTTGTTGAAAAACTCTTGTGGTGTTCATGAGTACGGTGGTTATACATTCTCCCGGTCTGCCCAATGTATACCCTAGAACGTGCTGATTTTTATTCTATGAGCAACTCTCATGTCTTGTTCATACAAAAATGAAGCAAATTTTTCTGTTGATGATCTGAATTAGGTTAAAGTTCAATCATTTTCATTATTGTTGTTTCTGATGGTAGAATAATGCTTAGAAAGCAATAATTCATAGAACTCGAAATAGGATGTTAATGATATCTATTCTTTATCATTTTGTTGAATATAACATGAAATAACTTCAATTTCATTGTCTTTTTTGTATTCACCGATCTTAATGTCAACATCAAAATTTTTTTCATACAATATGAAATAACTGAAGTATTATAACGTGGTGGGTTTGATTTCGTTTATTATTCCATAGATATTTTTTAGGCCTCAACATGGAGAATCCAACTATTTGGGAACTGGCTCTGACCATACTAGTCGATCACAATGAAGCTAGTATTGTTAGAGAAAATGCTGCCCAGTTGCTAGCTAATTTGGCAGGGCAAGCGGCTCCCCTCCATAGCGAAAAGAGTCTGGGGACATCTTTGCCCGCTTTGAAAAAGGTATTTAATCAAAAATATTGAATAGTAAAGAATACACAAAATCAAAAATATCAGTCCGATTCTAGAGAGAATTCCTTCAGGGTGTTGAAAAATTCACAAGGCTGCAAATGAGATTATGCACTCTTTTCCTTATAAGATTCAAAATTCCAGATCTTAATGGTGAAATATGGAGCCATGACCAAAAAAATGTTTTCAAGGCTTATTATTATGATAGCTACTCAAAAAATTAACGTCTTGTTTTCTTGATGACTGATTCAATTGTTACACTTAAAATAAAGGTCAAGAGAATAAAGACGCCTTACGCAGACTTAAAACTAATTGATTTTGACAGATCAATATGTCAACAAAGTTTCATAGAAGAGGAGCAGATTTATCGCTGAAAAACGAAGTCGGTTGATCACGTGGGGTCAATTTGATTTTCTTATTGGTAGCGCAAGTCATATAATTTTTGGTGAACAAAAAATATCGCTGTTAACACATAACTTACTGTACAGATGGTCTATTCTGATTGGTTCTTGAAAATAACAGTAGAGTAGTTCGTATGATACCGATTGATTAGCCGAAACCACGCATTGCTTTTGGTTGAAATTACTAAAATAATGATAATAATAATGAAAGAAATCCCAAATAGAAGAGAATATTTTGGGATTGTTTTATTGTGATTGCTGTTTCTGACCAACACAACATTCTAGAAGTTAGCATTATTTCTCATGGATTTCTTTGAGATTAATGTTTATTTATTTTTATTTTTTTTTTATTTATTTATGTAAAGTCTCACAAAACACTGCATAGTAATTAAAATATAAGACACTGCAAATATACCTTAAATCTAGCACAAGTATCAAAATATTAAAATATAAAACAAATCAGAGCTATAAATTAAATGACATCACAGTACAAAAATGTACACAGATGATAGTCAAAAATTAAGGACAGAATTACATTGTTAGACTCTTCAATGCTTTCGAATTTGTATTGAAGAAGTCAACATTCCTATCCTTAAAAAGATCATTACACAGCATTAACATTTGGCTTAGAGGATTATCTAATGGGTACTCAATATTGAATAATTTGTCACATTCAGATCTAAGCTTAATTTTCGGAACGACTAGTTTTACAGAATTGATTAATGCACATTTGTGGTATTTAATGTTGTTGATTATATAGTATATGAAAATCACAGATTGTTGTTTTCTTCTATCACAGAGTTTTTCAAATTCATACTAGTCAAGCATGCTTCCATATAAAAAGCGAAGAAACATCTTTTGAATACGTTCAATACGTTTTGTGTGGCAGCAGGCCGTGGGTGACCAAATTATTGATGCATATTCGAGGTAGGCATTATAGAGTTTGCTTAGCGTGCTGATGCATTCAAAGTTTCTAGAATTGCGTGTAATAAACCCAAGTCTTTAATAGGCTTCATTGACAATGAAGTCGTAATGCATTATGAATTTTAAATTGCTCTGCATATAAACTCCGAGGTCTTTGATTTCTTGTCGACATTGTAAAACATTGTCATTCATGGCATAGTCGAAGATATGTGAAATTACATTTCTAGAGACCGTCACGGTAAAACATTCATCCGTGTTGGGGTGCATTTATGATATTGATGATGATTATGTATAGGTTTCTCTCTGTAGATCTCGTACCTTGTCGACAGACTTATGTTTTGTGGAATTTCAGAGTTGTTCTATGACTATCCTAAACTTGGTCGAGGATTTTGATTTGTACGGAAATTTGGAAATAATTATCAGCAGCTTGTTCACTCTCAACCTACCTGAGGGTTCTAAGCAAACGAAAAATACGGAAAGTAGGTACAACTTTGCTCGAAATTTTATGCTTGCTATATTTCCCTCCTCGCTTTTTTTTCAGAAAATAATTTCGTCAAATATTGCTCGTCATCGGAAAAATCTTGGGATTCGGCAAGCGAAAGTTATGAAAATTCCACTGTCCTTACAACTCCAGGCTTGATAAGGTCGCTCGCAAACTTTTTGCTAAATTTGTTCAATCTAGAACCTGACAGGGTGAGCAATAAACTTCAGGACCTTGGGATAGTCAAGTTGCTATTCAGGTGAGCCCATTCAAATTCTATAATGCAAAATATTTCGACAGTATCATTTTGATAAAACCCCTATATTTTTTTCAGAACTCTGTGTACTGCTTCCATGAGTATTTCCAATACAAGAGAACTGTCGTTGTACTGTGACATACTTGAAATGAACACCATGGTTTGTTCTGTTCTTATCAGGTTAGCCAGTACAAACCCAATTTGTTTAGGAACGATTCTGCATACCAGGGACTGTCTGAATCTTTTATTTTCATTGTTGAATCCAAGAATCTACAGTAAGTAAAATCTGTTTCTGCTCACTAGGTCTCGTCAGTCGAACTCGATCTGCTGTCTCTTTTTTTCAACGAAACGTTACTGTCAGAGAAAACACTCGGTTGCTTGTATTTTTTCAATCTTCATTTATTTACAACAATTCGAAAATTAACATGACGGAACACCATAGACAATTATTATCATATTTATGTTCGTTTCAAAGAGAACTCAGCCTCAATGCAACCAAGTTGTTCACCTGTTTTCTTGTCATTGTATTCTGACACTAACTTCACTTTGCCATCAGGGAAATTTTTATATTTGAATCTGCTGAAGTCCAGTATGTAGTTTTTGACTGTGTAATGGCCCTAGAAATATCGAAAAAATTAAATAAAAGCCAAATATGTACAAAATTGATGGAGTTAATGCCTGAAAGTGAAATATGATCCAAGCAGTTGATTCTAAATTTCTTTTTGGTTGGTACTCACTTTGGGATAGGGACAAGACTTTGTCAAACCAGCAGCTTTTTCCATATCACTGGCGAAATCTCCTGTGAAGTCTTCGATCATCTTACATAACTTGTCTTCTTTGCTTATAAGGAATCGCCATTTGTCATCTTCCCACGAAAATATTTTCACGTTATTCTGAAATGGTCAAATAATGTTCGGAACATCATACATTCATTATCTCAAGAGACAATAATGAAAGATTCTTGTTACCTATTAGTATGGTATTTGGAATCTTCAGAATGGATTGTTTTAAACAAATATTTTTTTAGAATATCAAGTTTACCATAATATTATCGTCCATGTCTACTGAAGTTGTGAGACTGCCTTCTTCTACTATTTGCACTCCATTTTCTTCTTTCATTTTTTTCGCCCATTTTATGGGGTAATCTTTGTTTGGGTCACACATTTCTATTCGTTCAATATGAACAGGACTAGCCTCTATAAACTAAAAAAAAAGAACTGAGATATCTGAAACATGGAATATTCATTTTTCTAGAATTTTTGGGATTTTATTTACTCGTTTCATTGATTAAAAATATGACTATTATTTCAGTACATCTACTCTCTGTATGTGTAATGAGAACAAATCACTGGGTTTTGAAAATTTCACTATCAGAGAGCTTGAAAGAAAAAATCAATTGATAGTCGGTGACACCTTGTTTGGGAAAAGTCCAAAGCTAAGTGAAAATGCTTTCTATATTTCTACTGGGTGTTTCCGAAATTGAAGCGATCAATGAAATGGACGATAGCAGACGAAACAACAATATGAAAGAATACACTTTTGTCGAAAAAAATTTTTTTGGGAGATATTGAGCCACAGAGTTTGTATGAAACTTTTATAAATCATTGATCAGAGGTTGATAGCCTAACCCAAGCTTTGCTTTCGGCGAGATCAGAAGCACTGGACGTATCAATGACTTTTGCAATGTTGCCGGACGTTCAATAATACTCTAAGGATGTAGTATATATAGTACACCTAATTTTATTTAACACTTCTATTTCGCTTCTTAAACATTTCTCAAAACAAGGTGTCACTGACATGATTGATTCTTCTTTTAGGATCTCTAATAGCGAAGTTTTGGAGTGAATCATTTGTTCTTTTAATACACTTTTATTGAAATAATACTTATAATTGTTTTGAATTAAATAATTTAGTTGTGTTTTTGAAGCCCCAAATGTTGTATATGTTAATATTAATAATTGTTTTTTTTTCTGTGACGGGAAAAAAGTTTGGCATTTCATCTTTGTTGGCAGGTTATAAAATGTCACTTTTCATGAATTACTTTTTTCCCGTGTGAAAAAAGTGAGTACTTTTTTCCCGGATATATCACATATATATACACTGTTGATGGCTTTTGTTGTGCTATAGTTCCGAAAAATTAGTCAATAATACCGTCTCCGAGAAAGAACTGCGAGTCCTTTAATCTTCCATTGGACTTCGCGGCTACGTATATTACTAAACAACCACTAAATTCGCAATTTTTTGAAATCAAATCACAGAGAATTAGAATGACAGAAGTGACATCAGATATTTGATTACTTCAAAAGAATGATGAAGATACCTACAACGCAGGTGTCCCTACTGTTAAAAACTTCACGTCAATAATTTTCAGATTTCAAAATAATGTAATATCTTCTCAATATTGATTCGTCCTTTCTTCTGTCACAGAAAAAAAGTGTATTATACACGGGAAAAATATTAGATTTTAGCTCACGGTTTTTTGACTCCCTCCGCTATGCGTCGGGAGACAACACAACCTGGAGTTAAATTCTACTACTTTTTTCCCTTGTATAATAAATAACTATCATACCATAGTGCTCTTTAAGGCAAAAATTCGACGTGCTGTAAACCTTTGTGTAAAATTGCCAAATAAATCTATCCATCTATACTTGATAGGAATGGAAATAGAGAGAAGCCAAAAATCTAGAGAAATGATAGTTATTTATACACCAAGGTAGTAAAGAATATCAGTAGTACCCAGGGACCAAGATTATAACCCGAGACTTCAGCTGAGGGGTTTAGTATCCCGTGGTAATAATAGTCTTTACTTTACTACCAAGGTGTATATTAATTTTTTTTCACCACTAGCAATACATTTCAATCATTTTAGTTCTGTGAAACTGAAATATGGCCCTGTTGTCACTTTGGAAGCACTTCGTTTCAATTTTAATTGAAATCTAGTACCGACTAGATCCCCTTCGAACTCGCATCAGAACAGTGAATTCGGTTAATGGGCTTATATCACAAAACAATTTTATTTCATAATTCGATAGAACTCGCCCAAACTATCTCACCACCGCAAACCGTTTCTTGCTGTGAGCTCACTACGTTTTATTAAAAATTATTGAAATCCCCGATTTTTCGGACCTCTGAAAACGAGGCGATGATGTGATGTCAAAACCCTAATATTGAAACAAGACTATTCCAAACAGAGATGAATGATACATGATTTCTGACAGAGTGAATTAGCGTGAGATAACAGTTGAAAGAATTAATATATCAGTTGCCTCAGTCTCCGTCGGGCGTTTGGTATTTTCTTTTAACTTTGGCGAGATGAGGTTTCTACGTCATAAGAGGGTCCGTTTTCAGAAGGTACTATTATTTATGTCCAAATATAAAACATTCCAGTTAATTTTTCGATCGAATTATGTCGTCAATCATTATTTATGTATTAAAGGATCATTATAAACATGGTTTGAGTTGAAAGTTCTACTAAGGTGTACACGCCCATTATAACAGAGGTGGCTGTCTTTATTGACTAGTGGTACATAAAATGACGAAAACTACCTTGGTAGTAAAAGCACACTTTACTCTGTTGAATGGAGTAAATAATGGTAGGTTTTTTAGCTACTGGTGGAAAAAAAATATATTTGAAATTGCAGTTTGGATCAGAACTTACACCAGCTACGCACATGATACTTAAAATTTTCACTATCAAGTCCATGTTGCTGAAAATTCAAAACTGAATCAGTGCTTCATAGAAATACATTTATATTCGTTCGCTAGAAATTCAATCATCATTATAGCAAGATTCGAATGCAGATAAAAAATACATGATTTTATCTATCTTTTGTAGTAACTGAAAAGCGTAAATAATAATTGTATTTGTTCCTGTATGATTTGAGTTCATTTGTTTCGAGCAATTAAGTCAATACCATACTTTATCAAATATGACCAATTTCCGTTCTATTCTACAAAAAATCAGGTTCTATTTAGAGTGTTTATAGTAGAATGATTATTGTTAACAGAAAATCAAAATATTATACAGTGTGTCCCACTTACCATGCTCACCATGGGTATCTTTTTAACGGTGAGAGATACGAGGTCGGTTAAATGACACCAAATGTGGAGTTTGTCAAGGCCAACTATAATGTGGAAAAGTATTTTGATAAAATCTATTTGTTTTTGTTTTATACGCAAAAAACAGATTTTGATCATTTTCATGTCTCCTCCGTAACTTCTTTATTTATGGAAATATTCGAATAGGAATTTCACATTCTCATGGCAGTTTTTCAAAGTGATTTCGAAAAAAATATGAAATTTATACCAACTTCTAGAATTTGAGATATCAGCACCAACTTTGGTTTTTTAAATGTAGGTCATAGCTCACTATGACTTAGTTACAAATAACTTTTTTTTCTCTTACAGATGATATGTCGCAGTAATAGTTTTGTGTTGATAACAACGGAGTTATCGTCATTTATACAAAAACAAAAAATTATTCGGAAGCCGTCATCTTGAATTTATGAATTTCAACAGGAAATTCATGATCTCCGACCTCAAAAACCCCCACTCACCAATTTTGAATGGAATCGGACCAAATCTCGTCCGCCATCTTGGAGCAGCCATTTTTTTTATTTTCAACAAAAATTCCATAACTCCGATTACCTTGAAATTTGGCAGGTGTTCATAATTTCGGTGACAATACATACTGGAATTTTTGTTGAAATCAAAAAAAATGGCTGCTCCAAGATGGCGGACAAGATTTGGTCCGATTACATTCAAAATTGGTGAGTGGGGGTTTTCGAGGTCGGAGATCATGATATTTTCGTTAAAATTCATAAATTCAAGATGGCGGCTTCCGAATGATTTTTTGTTTTTGTATAAATGCCGATAACTCCGTTGTTATCAACACGAAACTATTACTGCGACATATCATCTGTAAGAGAAGAAAAAGTTATTTGTAACTAAGTCATAGTGAGCTATGACCTACATTTGAAAAACTAAAGTTGGTGCTGATATCTCAAATTCTAGAAGAGTTGGTATAAATTTCAAATTTTTTTCGAAATCACTTTGAGAAACTGCCATGAGAATGTGAAATTCCTTTTTGAATATTTTCATTGATAAAGAAGTTACGGAGGAGACATGAAAATGATCAAAATCTGTTTTTTGCGTATAAAACAAAAACGAATAGATTTTATCAAAATATTTTTTCTCATTATAGTTGGCCTTGACAAACTCCACATTTGGTGTCATTTAACCGACCTCGTATCTTTCACCGTTGAAAAGATACCCATGGTGAGCATGGTAAGTGGGACACACTGTAGAATGTCAATCTAGAGAGGACCTGAATATTCATTTTACAGACAGTAGGACCTGAATAATTTTCCAAGAAACAATTGGAAAATGGAACTCTATTCTTGCAATACACATTATTTATCTGTAGCAGATGTTCATGTGATAATAATTATAATAATTTATCAGCCCCAGTTATGTGTAAATTACACTTTAGGTTGTCGTGTACAGAGAAATATGAAACGATCACAATTTAAAAAAAGAGATACATATATTTGGGTCAGAGATTATACATAAAATGTTTGAAAAAAGTACAATATAATACTTGACAATTAAACAAATTTCACTGTGGTGTCTCGTCAAAGGAGAAGTGAAGAAATTCATCATGTGAATAGAAAGCATTGGTCAATAAAATTTTCACAATTGCTGCATTACATTTTCTGATCGGTGGATTCTTTAGTACATTTGGTAATTTGTTGAAAAGTTTCAGAGCCGTATAATTAATTGGCTGTTGCGATTTTTATATACTCAGGGATCTTTTGTTCCGAGTATCATAATCATGGTAGGATGAATTAAAAGATAAAGATTTCTCATTTTCCTTTACAAACATAACGCATTGTAAGATGAAAGCCGAAGGTAAGTGCAGCATCCACAGTGGTGAATTCCAGTAGTTTTTTGATTTGGTATACCACTTTATTCAATATCAATGTTGTGTATTCGGTATGACCCCTCCAGTTCAATTTTGTATCAATGTGGATGCCATATATCCAGGGTGATTCAATATTGATGTAAATATTTCGAGGACTTATTGTTGGGACCAGAATAAGACTTTTCTTTATATAAACGTGTCCTAAAACGCACCTTCTCCTAGATACAGCCACTGTAGGTTTTGGGTAAACAAAAAAAGAATTTCTGAAAACGTGATCATACTTTCGGACCAAGTGCACTGCACTTATCTGAAATAGCAGTCTCAAATGTGTTCCGACATACGATCACCTCCGTATGCATGCGTTTAACCCATTATGTTCGAAAACTATGTCTTGACTTCCTTTCGTTGATTACGATTTCCTAGCAAACGGTTAGTTGTATGAAAAAATGCAAGATACCGAATTTTCACAATTTTTCACGCACAAGATCATGCTATTCAAAGTCAGAGTTTCTCTTTTCAAACATAAAATTTGGGACAAGAAATGTAACGAATAAAAGCAACGAAGTGTCTAAAAAGACAGTGGCATGCCAATTTTCAGAGGATTCAATCCGTTAGGAGGTGCATTACAGGAAAGAAAGTATGAAGAAAAAGTCTTATTTTGATCTCAATAATATGTCCTAGAAATATTTACATCAAATTTTGAATCAACCTGTATATTTTGAGAAATATGAACATATGCATTAGTAGTTGTTTATTTCCAGATATACATCTCCCTCAGCTGATGTATCTCAGGAACAAACTGTGGTGCGAAATATTCACTTTGATATCCACTTTGGTGGAGTTTTGCGGGGAGTCTGAGGGAAATTTGACAGCTAGATCTGTGGAAATTATCTCAATCTATGCCGGAACGCTCTTAGAATTGGGAAACGAGCCGTTTTTCGAAACCGTCTGCGAATCCATAAGTTATCTAGGGTCACATGGTAAGTTTTTTTTATCAGAAAGAGAGTACCATATATTGGAAAACGGGTGAAGATTTTTCCTAAGAGGCATGAAAGATATTTTATAATATGTTCTTTTTGTTGTCTGTCTGTATTTTATTGGTTTTCATTGAAATAAACAATATGAAATTGAATCACCATGTAGGAGAGTGTCATATAATATTAAGAATGAATTCTCAATTATTTTTTCAGCAAAAGATTTGAGACATATTTCATGTAGGCTGAGCTAAATCTTGTTGATCCCATTTTAAATTAGTCAGTTTTTTTCATACAGTTGAGAATGTAAAAAAAACATATTTTCCTCAAATTTTTCCTTCTAGAGTGTATAAAAAATGTCATAACCTTGCTTTCCTCGTTCATAATTTGTTAAAATCGTTTGCCTTGTTTTTATGATTATTGAAATGCATTGTTCTTATTATCGAAAAGATTTACCTTTCTGTTTTTTGTATTTTTCAATAGGCTTCAATTCCGAAATTATCGAAAATCAAGAGCCCCCTCTATTTATAAAAAATTATTCAAATTCACCCCTATAATGATTTTAACATCGAGGAACGCCTTTTTGATTTCCAGACCTACAGAATTCTGCATTGACATCTCTCACCTGCTTGCTACGCATCGAGAACTACAGGGTGTTTGAAAAAACCACCTCTCCGGAGGAAGGCATGTTCAAAGTAGAATCATTACAAAGCATGCTAGATTCCGTGAGAACATCCAGATCTATAGTAATTTCCGATGCCAAAGAAAACGTCGAACCGAGAAAACATCGTGGAAAGCAAAGCAGCGCTAGGCAGCTGGAAAATTACAGGATGAACGTACTAGAAGAAGCTTATTTCGATAAAGCTCTGGCTAGAAAAAGTGATTCTAACGAGGAAATCGAGGTCCGGATTGTTGATTACAATGATGGCTTGGTATCAGGAGCTGAGATTTGCAAAATTTTGCTTTACCTCTACGACATTTGCGACCTTGAAGCTAGCGACGCGCAATTCAACAAACAAAAATCTCTGGTGATCGCTGCTCTGTCTTCCCTCCTCAGCATTTCTAGGTAGGGTTGGAACGATTGAAGTTTCCAAATGAAAATTTCCAATTTTCAAGCATTTGTCTGTATGTGTGTCCAGTTTTCGATGCTTTTGCGCGATATCTCAGTTAGGGATGCACCGGATCGGGTATTTTGCCGATCCGGCCAGAACCGGAATTCCGGCCGGATTGAGACCTGAATTTGAAATGTATGTGCATGGTCATTCTTTTACGTAAAACATTGAAAATATTGAGGCTGATTTATTTCTACTTTTTTTAAACTAGCTACAGTATGCAGTGTATGAGTGTTAACTATCATCAATTTTACCTAGATAGAAATAACTGTTAAAAAAAATATTCGTGATTAATTAACGACTTAACAATAGGTAAGTAGGCACCAATTTAAAAAAACCTTGAAAAAAATGTCTTTATTTTTGCATACAGGGTGTCTGTAAAAGGTTGGGACATGGCTCGGCTGTGGACTCCTGGGATAAAAACAAGTTAGGCCAACTTACCTATATCCAAAATCGTCTCGTTGAGTTGGTACAAGGCGTTGAAGTGTTTCTGGAAAAAATAATTTTGCTCATAAAAAGAGTAGGCTGCGATCGATTTTCATAATTTATGGCATGTTCTGTGACTGTGAGTCACGTTTTGAGATGTTTTTGAACATCTTCAGTGACCTGCAATTGTTTCAAACAACCATGTTGCCGTACAAATTTGGAGATAACTTTTCAGAGGTCGGACTAGAAACTTCCAGTTTTCCCTTCATAAATATTTTTTATATGGTGTTAATTTTTGAGGTCTCATTTGCAAATTAATAATTCTTGATCTGAGGCATCTTATGTATTTTCTAAAAAAATAATCTGGTTGGGACATATGGCTTGACTGTAGACTCCTGGGATAAAAATAAGTTGATTTTAGCCAACTTACCTATATCCAAAATCGTTTCGTTGAGTTGGTTCAAGGCGTTAAAGGGCTCACCTTAGGTCCTGAATAGTTATAGCTAAATTTGTAACGCGAGAGTTCTTGTGAAGCCCGCGAAGATCAGCAACATATCAGTTTGTTTCAATGATGATGATCAATGAACAGTTTGACTAATTAGATTAATTTTCAAAAATGCGCAGGATGCATCATATCAGAAATTATTCATTTGCAAATGAACCTCGAGACTTATCAAAAATCAACACGGTACAAAAAATTTCTAAAGAGAATATCTTTCTGGAAAAAAATACTGGAGGTTTCCAGTCTGACCTCTGAAAAGTTATCACCAAATTTGAACAGCAATGGTTGTTTGAAACAATTGCAGGTCACTGATGATGATCAAAAACACCTCAAAACGTGACTCACAGTCACAGAACATGCCATGCCCAAAATTATGAAAATCGATCTCAGCCTACTATTTTTATGAGCGAGATTATTTTGTTCCAAAAAAACTTCAACGCCTTGTACCAACTCAACGAGACGATTTTGGATATAGGTAAGTTGGCCTAAATTAACTTGTTTTTATCCCAGGAGTCCACAGTCGAGCCATGTCTCAACCTTTTACAGACACCCTGTATATTTGAATTTAAATTATATTAAAAATTTAAAACTTGAACGTTTCCAAAAAGTTTCGAAAATTCCATCTGGAAACCGATCAGGCAGGAGCGATCCGGCCGGAACTGTAATTCCTGCCAACTGGCCGGACCGTCCGGATTTTGTGGTACCGCCAGAATTTCGGTGCATTCCTAATCTCAGTTATCTTTGGAGATAGAGTGTTGCGGTTTTTACATTACTTCTTCACTTTTTTGTGAACCGAATAATGCCGCAAACAGAATTTCCACACTAATTCATATTTTTGAGATACAGGGCAAATTTGAAAATTATCACCTTCTGAGCACCTCTTGTATCTTGGCTACTTTTCAACTTATCGTCAGGATGAGGACAGGGCCTTATATAATTTTGTACAACAATCAATATCTCGAAAATTAATTAAGATATTGAAAACTTCAAACAAAATCTTGAATGAAATGTTTTTGTACTTTCAAATGGTGCATTCCAAACATTATATCATCCTTCCATATCCGGGGTGGGGGGGTGTGACAATGTTTGATTTTTTTAAATGGAACATCCTATATATCATTGCATATCTTGAAAGAGTGATTTTAGCTGATTTCAAATAAATATATATATACGGATCTTGTTGTCTCATTGATATTCGTTTTTGAATCAAGTTTCCAGCTATCATAGAACTCGAGCAATCGAGCTCCGACGCACTAACGCCCCACCCTGTATATTTCATAAACATTAAATTTTCCCCAACCCTATTTCTAGGGCAGCCAAGCGTTACGCCATGGAAAGCGGCCTTGTGTCCCTAGTACTCAAACAGCTCAGGCAGTGTCACGTGAGACTCAGTCTGGAGTCGGTGGACAGTCTGCGAAGGATTTCCGGAAAGAAGAAATGTTGTCCGGTGTTGAACAGGGTGGACGAGCTGGTGGTTTTGTTGAACAATTTCATGTTGGAGGACGAAAGTGTGAAAGTCGAGGCGGCTAGCGCCAATTTGGCTGATGTGGTGCACAAGCTGTGGGTTTGGTTTTCGGTGCAGAACGGCTATTTGGTGAATGCGCTGAAGATGGTTTGCACGTATACGACTGACTGTGGCTTGGGTGAGTCAGTTTTTTCCACAGTTTTGTCTCGAATTTAGTCGAATTAATGTCACAAACCTATTTTATATTGATCATTCCGTGTATAAATCGTTATTTGAAATCATCGCAAATAAATTATTTTCAATAGGTCTGTTCGTTATTTGTGTTTGCTCTACTTGCTAATTTCGATTTTTTTCTTTTACTTTCTCTGTTCACATTATGTCATGAATAAAGACAACTTTGGACACAAAATCAACTTTACAAAGTTCAGCAACTCAAACGATCGAACCTAATAATGAAATTCGGCACCTTCAAAAGACGCCAGCTTCGATGACGTCATGAAGAACCGAAAGTCATTGTTATCTGAATTCCTGCTTTTGCATAAAAAGTAGAACCACATATTTCGACGCTGCCAGATTTGTAACTAGTAATTTCCTTATGAGATTCAATATAACCAATGACAACAGTATTCACATTCACAGAAGACAATAGTTCGACCTGGTCCCTAATAATCACTTATTGAATACTTATACACTTGCAAAATGCTTCAGTACCAATAAAAATATCCTAAGATTCTTAGTAATGATCAAGATTTGAATTAAACCCAAACTATTTCGTGGTACTGGCAACAGCGTAACGCCTAGAGTTCCCAGAAATACAAGAAGAGAAGAACAAGATGAAATGCATTGTCAACCTAACTTCCTAACGTCACTTTTATTCTTAAATCTTTGTTTCATCTAGGCAAGATGCGAATATTTAAAGATATTCCTTTCATTATCTGATTCTTCAGTTATGTGTTGTGGTCTCTGTTATCTGCAGTGAGTATTCAGTCTAGAAATTGTACTAGAATCTAGGGTGAACACTTTTTGAGGAGACGAACTTTTTTCATATTTTGATTGGAATGACAATCAGAAATATTCTTGGTCTTGTCTTATAGAAATAGAGAATATACGTATGTCGAATGTTCACAGATGATTACGTCACGCGTTTTCCCGCGTTTTTCATGTTAGGAAATATCGTGAATTTCAATAATTATTCATAAAATGTTCAAAGCTCATGAGAAAACACGGTTTCCGACAGTGAACTAGTTGGGGTTAGTACTTCGAAATAATGAAATAAAGTTTCTCACTGAAACAGTCCCATTGAGACATTTATGGAAGCATAAAATTTAAAACCTGGCCGAGCGATAGGTGACAAGGATGAATTGACCGTGAAAATTTATTATAATTAATCAATTTGTTTACTCATCATTCAAAATAACAAATTGTTTCGATAACGAAAAAGCTAGGCGTCACTTTGCCATAATGCAATTACAATGCGGTGGGGACATTTTTGACCTATTTCAATATTTCGCGAGTTCATCTGGAATTTTAGCACTCATTATAGTATCGATATATCACTTTTCCTTTGCTGTTCTCGAAATTCTCTGAAACCAAAGAGGCACTTGTACGTATGTAATGTGGTAGTACTGCCTATGGTCATGGATATAGATGTTTTTCGTTATTTTCTCAAATCCTTTGAAGGTGCTTGCTACTCATTCCTTGGGAAATTCGATCTTTCATATTTTTTTTAAATATTTTTTTCAACAAATGCTCTGACTTGATCTTATTTTGAATTCTGGTGTCACCTGTTGCTCTATGGCGAATAAGTCATGAGACACCCATATGGTTCTTTCAAATGCCAATAAGGCATTGATAGGTTCAATTTTTGAACTATTTGAAATTCGGAATGTACAGGGTGCTTGTTTATATTTTACTCAATAGCTATCTCAGTAAATATTGGTCTTACAAAATCATTCGAATGTGCAGATATGAAGTATTTTTATGGGCATTCAAAATTTAGTTCTAGAAAATGCAAAATAGAATCCTAAACTTTATAAAATTTTAGTGATATTTTTTAAATGGAACATCCTGTATTTTATTTTTCCTATCAGTAGAGCCCTTTGTTCTAATTTCAAATATATATACTGTTTTGAGGTTATCTGTGCCATTTTTTCGAAAAATATAGATTTTTTCCCAAGCTGTAGAACGCCAAAAATCACAGCCTTAATATGACAAAGAAAACCACAATTGAGTATATATATTATTTGAAAACAGAAAAAAGAGCTCTATCGTTTAGGAAAGGGAATCCCTCTAATGTTCCAAGAACATCGTGCGTACCTAGGAAGGATAGGGAGAGGGGGTAAGTGTTGGATTTTTGTTTAAACCTTTGGGGATTTTAAGATCTTGGATATACTTCCTCAGGCAATGTATTCCAGAGCTTTCCCGTTCTATAAAGAAACGAGTTTTGATATAGTGCTGTTCGACATATTTCGAGGTTGACTGGTATTGCTAGTCGTGGAATGATAGAAGAGATTTCTGAAGAACATTTCCCGTGGAAGTATTCATAGAAAAGTGAAAGGTCTCCGACCGTTCTACGGTATTCCAATGATATCAAAGTGTTAGTGTTAGTGAGCGTGGCTTCACCCATCAGGAGTATGGCTCTTCTCTGGATGGAATCTAAAAGCATCAGAGTATGATTGAGTGCTGAACCCCATTATGTGAGAACAGTATTCTACAACAGGTCGTATCTGTGCTTTGTAAATCATGAGAAGCTGTTGAGGTGTGAAGCAGCTTTCGCGATGTATTTTACACAACACTATTCTACGTGTAAAATCGACGGACAAACCTGTTGGTGCGTTACAAATGTAAATAATGCAAGGACAGCATAGGCCGTCGAAAATATTGATTGTCCGTCGGTGTCCGTCAATATGTTGAAGGTTTTTGTAAAATTAACATCAACTGAGATAGGTATCGAGTAAAATATAAACAATCACTCTGTAGAAGTCGGTAGTGATTTTTTTAAAGTTCTTATATCCGATTTTCAGCTTGTCAGACCTTGCCCTTAACTAGTCCTGTGGCAGGATCTGGACCCCGAAAGTCGCCAAGCACTGTGTCCTTGTTGCATACCATCATAACATTGATCAACAAGCAAATGGACCAAATAAGTAGGACTCATGACATCAGAGTATTGGAGATCTCTTCCAATATCCTACAGAATGCGTGTTCTTCTTTGGAGTGCCGTGTGTTGATCTCAAAAGTAAGTGTCAATCGATCGTTCTATTTAAAAGTGGCATTCATCAAATTGTTGGTGAAAAGGTCTTCATCTCTGTTTCAATTATTTTAACTACCTACGTCAAATGATACATTTTCAAAATCAGCGGTTCACGCAATGCAGTATGCTCACACAAGTCAAAACATATATTTCTCCTAATTGACCTAAACATCCCAAAAAATTAATAGACACTAATTCAGACCCATAAAGAAAGAATCCGGAGTCGAATTTAGTAGAGAACTTTTTCTTTTAATTTTAAAAATAAGCGGTTCTCGCGATGCAGTATAGGCTCATACAGGTAAATATATTGATTTCCTAATTGCCCTAGGGATCCCAAAAAAAGACAGACACTTGTTCAGACTCATAAAAAAAGAATCCGGTATCAGAATTGGTAGAGAACTTTTTCTTGAGATTTTCAAAATTAGCGGTTCACGCGATGCTGTCGGCTCGTACAGGTCGAATATTTTTTTCCTAATTGCCCTAACAATCCCAAAAAAATCATAGACACCAAATTCAGACTCATAAAGAACGAATCCGGAGCCAGCTTGAGTAGAAAACTTTTTCTTTAGAATGCAGTAGACTCATACAGGTCAAAAATAGTTATCTTCTTAATTATTACTTCAAAAACACCAAAAAATCTATCGACACTAATTTAGAATCATAAAGAAAGAATCTGGAAGTCAAATTTAGTAGAGAACTTTTTTTTATTTTAAAAATAAGCGGTTTACGCGATACAGGTAAAAATTATTGCTTTCCTAATTGCACTAGAAATCCCAAAAAAACACATGAATTTATTCAGACTCATAAAAAAAGAATCCGGTGTCAGATTTGGTAGTAAACTTTTTCTTGAGGTTTTCAAAATTAGCTGTTTACGCAATGCTGTAGGCTCATACAGGTCGAATATTTTTTCCTAACTGCCCTAACAATCCCAAAAAAATTATACACTAAATTCAGACTCATGATAAAGAACCCGGAGTCAGCTTGAGTAGACAAATTTTTCTTCAGAATGCAGTAGACTCATACAGGTCGAAAATAGTTATTTCCTAATGATTACCCTAAAAATATCAAAAAATCCATAGACACTAATTTAGAATCATAAAGGAAGAATCTGGTGTCAGATTCAGTAAAGAATATTTTTCTTCAGAATGCAGTAGACTCATACAGGTCGAAAATAGTTATTTCCTAATTATTACCCTAAAAATATCAAAAAATTCATAGACACTAATTCAGGCTCTTTAAGGAAAAATCCGGAGTCAGATTGAGTAGAAAATTTTTGCTTTGAATTTTCAAAATTAGCGGTCCAAGCCGCATGTAGGCTTTTACCGGTCGAGAAATATTTTTCTCATAATTACCCTAAAAATCACAACAAATTCAGACACTAATTCAGGCTCATAATGAAATAATCCGATGTCAAGTTTAATGTAGTTGATAACTTTTCCTTCAGATTTTCAAAATTAGTGGTACACGCGATTTAATAGGCTCATACTTGAAAGCTTATAACCAAATGTTCAAAAAAATCCCAACACCCACCTCCTCTCCCTATCCTCCCTAGGTACGAACATAATATGAATTTCCTTTCGTGTGCCCCAAGAGATAAAACAAAATACATGCCAAGAACACTACCTCGAGGTACCCCAGCTGTTGGTAAACCGACCAATCTTTCGTTGTTTCTTCCAGAGCAACCTTTTCCAATGCCTTCCCCGGCTTCACCCCGCCATCACGAAACGCCAAAAACCCTGGGAGAACCTGGAGCTGATCTGGTTGGACCTTCTGCAGACGTTCACGACGCATCCGGAAGGTCAGGCGACCGTCGCAAAAATCCCCGAAGTGTTGGACCTGATCATGGCATTGACTTCCGGTGCGCGTGCGCAGAATCGCGCAGCGGCCATGCTTGTGTTGAGAAACGTGGCTTTCCATCAGCCGAACAAAGCTAGGCTGTTAAGTTCAAGTGAGTCAAATTATCCATATTTTTTTCAACTTCTTGAATTAAACTGTAGTCCATTCCAACTAAGACAGCGTTGGAGAATATAGAGAAGCGATGACATGCCCTTTGATTAGTTAATATCGGAGGCAATATTGCACCTGCCTAATATTATGACGTATGACGTGACGTTAAGGTTAAAGGTTTCTATGATGTATGATGAGCACATTCTCACTCCTTCAGAAAACCAGAATCAGTCAAAAGACTATTTAACTGGTATTGAATTTATCATAATATTGAAAAATTACACTGATTTCATACCATTCAAATGTGTTTTTATTGCAAATGAAGAATTTCTCATGAAACGAATTATCATAGAATTATTATTCAACTACCTAGTAATAGGTTTTTGATATCTAAAATGGCCATTCAAATTATTCGCATTATTGAAGTTATTCAAATTATTTTATCAAAATACAGCCAAACCATCAACAAAAATGTAAACAAAATACATCTCAGTATGGTGTGAATCAGGTTCACAACCACTGTTGCCAGTCTTAAGTTCTCAATTTCTTGGTTAAATTAAAATATCTCTTCAAATAAGGATGTTTTTTTTTTTGTAATAATGAACAACAACAATAAGAACCTTTCAACAGGAATTCAAATTAGAAAGATCAACCTCAAAAACGAACTGTCAGCTTCATTGTTATTTTGGTATATACCCATAATTTTATAATCGTCAACTATTATGCTATTCTAATATTGTATAGATAAATTGAATTATTTAGAACCAACAAGAAACCTTCATAAACCCATATATGATAAACCAAATGAAATGAGATATTCAATCAATATATAAATTTAAAATATTAACATTCATTCATTCAGTCAAACACAATTATAAACAATCCAATTTGAATGAATACATTCACGTTCAACTAGACAAACAGACATGTTTTTCCTCATTCAAATCAAATCTTAATTTGGCAAGGGATCTTCTATATATTGCAATGGATTATTACTTTACAATGAATAGCCAACAAGACCAAAAAAATATCAGTACCACAAGGTTCAAAAAAGAACTTAACAAATACTTATTCCTCTGAAGATTGTCATGTCATCCATATAGACATCATAATAACATATCAATTACTTTAATCATTCATTCACTCAAACAAGGATGAGCTGTAACTCTGAGAATAACTAAAATGGTTATTATACTCGAGATACCTATACCTACTACATTTTAAATGTAATGTGATACATTATGGTTTTTTTAATGTTCCCTGTTATAAACATATTATGTCAATTGTTTCGTGGGAATAAATAATGAAGATTATGATGATGATGATGTTTCGTATACGGCTCGCACTTTTAGATGTGCGTACATGGCTTTTCTAATTAGTACATCATGAAAATGGTGGAGGAGCCGAAACTATGACGCGTCATGGTGCTTTCAGGTAAATGTACCAGAGCCATTTTGGTTTGTGTAATATTTTATGAAACTGTGAAATGTATACTTTTTCATCCACAATTTAAACTCACAAGAACCCACAAAGAAAAAGCGTTATAGCAGGGTGCTATTTATGTTTCAACTTTGAAATTACATCCCTGCTTTTGACTTTATTTAGTACAGCTTTGTTTCATTTTGATGGTTGCAGTGTTGGTTGCAAACAAGGGTTGCAAACACCTTTTGGTCACGTGGTGTACAATCACTGTTGAAGACCGGGTAGTAAAAGAAGTACCTTTTTATCTGAATTTCACTCGACCCAACAAACTAACAATTGTTCCGTTCAAAAGTTGAAGAGGGGAGGACTTTTTACGGCCTCACTGAATGGTTATTGAAAGAAAGGTGGATATATGTATGGTGAAATAGCTCCCTCTTACAAAACCCTAGAAATTTTTATAGACCTCTGGCCTACTTGATTATGTCGAATTCTATCACCGTAGTAAGGCCGCGCAAAACTAACGCTAGATGGCGCTGTTCCCGAAGTGATCTTGCTACACAATGGTTGTATTGTTTTGTTGTTTACATTTACGTATATCAATTCGTAATTTAAAAACATTGAGAAAAAGTGATTGATTTAATGAAAAAGACGTGAAATTTTCATTATATCTGTGAAGTATATGTGGCACGATGTTCCCTACGCCATCTACAGTCAATCCGGTGCGGCCTTGCTACGGTGTTTCGCGGTCTACACGTTTTGGAAAGAAACAATTGACAAGTGGTTACACCAGTCTATTTTCATCATGATTGAAAGCATCAGTGTGACATGTGACGATAAAGGATAGAAAATAATCAAAAGCAGTCCTCTTGTTTCCGTGTTTTTTGAAACGTCGAAAAAATAATCATTTCATGCTGAAGGAAAATATGCTTGATTTTTCATTTGAATTAAGAGATTGATTTTTTTTCCATAAAACTTTTATCCCCAATAAATTGAAGTTGCGGTTTGTTTCAGGCGACTTTTTGAACATTTTGGGAACCAAACTAACTTCCGGTTGCGAAGAAGAAAAATATATCGTGGTGGTCATCATGTGGGCCTTGTCTGCCAACAGCCAAAAGGCGAAGATTATCCTGAAATCGATTCATCTGGACGATAAGCTGGAAAATTTCCTGAAACATTGCCAGCTATTTAGTAACGGACGATCCGAGGGTATTGCAGAAGAGAAGTTGAGGAGAATGTGCTATGTATTAGATATGTTGAGAGATAAGGATAAGGTCAGGTGACGAGGATTCATTTGTGTCTGCATTTTGATTAGTTGTTTTTATATCTTTATGACATTTTGATAAAGTTTTACATTCGAATATTTTACATGAAATTTTGTGTATTTTTCCAGTCTAATGCCCTCATTTTTTTTGTGCACAAAAAATGTGCAGATAATCTATTTCAGAAGAAAATTACTTATACATGACATTCCAGTTGGAAGAAGCCTATTTATAAACTTATGGTATGGTGATGAAATGTGGGATAAATTTTATATTTATGTTTGCGAAATAACCGGGATTAGGTTAATTTTGTTTTGTGGTTTTATGATGATACATTGGTTGAACTAAACTTGTCAACATTCAAAACGTGAAATCGTAAATTTTCGTCCAAATTCGATTGATAATATCGGATTTCCACTACCGCTTTTCAATTTTGTTGATCTATGAGGACGAACATTATTTATTGTCCACCAGCTCGCGCTACTGAAACGTGAGGTCAAGAGCGAAGCTCTCGGCCGCAAATTTTCTGTAGACTTGATTCCGTGCCAAATATAAGGATATTGCTATTATTTTCTGTGATTTGAAAACATTCGTTATTCGAATTTACCGCCAACATCAGTGATTTGAACCATTTGGTCTATAGGAATCGTCTATGCATATGCTTGGGCAAAACGGATTCGTGTACCTGAGAGCACTTCAGTCTAGGGTCCCTTGATGGAAGTTGACGTTAAAGTCATCTTTACAGGGTACGGACATGGACAGATCATAGCTGCATTCTCAGACCAATGACGGCTAAATGAATGCAGGTTATGTTGAATAGCTCATTTGATACAGGAAATAGATGACGCCACTTGCCGTCCCTTCAAAATTTCATTACAGGGCGATTTGATAATTATGATCCGGATCTGGGGTTTTCCGAGGTTGGAGATAATGATTGTTTCGTCAAACTTGAGAAATTCAAGATGACGGATTCGATATATAGCGAAAGGAACTTATAATTAGGATCTGATTCTATAAGAGATTGGTATCTGACGGTCTTCGGGGTCGAACTTTATGATTTTTTGTCAAAATTGGAAAATTCAAGATAGCGGATCCAATATGCCGAACGATTTTTGTAATAATGATCTGATTTTATTCGAAAATCAAAATTGGTATCTGGGGATTTCCGGGGTCGGAGATTATAACTATTTCGTCAAAATTGGGATATTCAAGATGACGGGATCCAATATGGTGGACGAGTTTTGTAATTGAAATCCGATTCTATTTAAAATTGGTGAGTATCTGGAGGTTTTCGGGGTAGGAGATAATGATTGTTTCGTCAAAATTGGAAAATTCAAGATGACGGAATTGACGGATCCAATATGGCGAAAGACATTTCTAAATGATCTGATTCTTCTATTGAAGATTGGTAACTGGGGGTTTTCGGGGTCGAACTTCATGGTTTTTTGTCAAAATTTGGATATTCAAGATGGCGGATCCAATATGGCGAATGAGTTTTGTAATAAATATTTGTTTAAAAAATCAATTGAACACGCTTTCGTAGATACTTAGTCGAATTAAGAAGAAGTAGAACTTAAATAGTAGTTTAAAAAACTGAAGAGAATAGTATTTTGAAAAACTAAAGAAACAAGCTTCTATGAATAGCCGAACTTGACAGAAGTAGAAAATAAAATGAATAAAGAGTGCTGGTGAATGTTTAACTAAAAGAATATTTTCTAGAAAATTGTGCATAGCAAAACAACGTTTGCCAAGTCAGCTAGTAATCTAGTAATGATATTTATTATTCGTTCCCAATACTCTGTATATTGTTGAAGAAAGAAAATATGTATGCATGAGGGTAAAGTATATTCTATTCTTTATTTTCCTGCACATTTTGAGTATTAATTTTTATCAGTCTACTTTTTGTCCTAGGAGAAATTGTATACATAGTGTGATATTGGTCACTCCATAAATTTTTCTCCGAGTTGGATTTCCGAAAATATATTCAGCACACATGACATGAGTACAGTAGTTCAGATACCCACATAGAGGATTTCACCATTTCTCAATCATAAGGCTCAGCTCATTCTTGGCTTTCAGTACAATTTATATGTTCCCTACCTCGCAAAGATCATGCTGGAGTAGTAAACTCTAAAACTAATAAAGGATCTATATCTTGGTATAGTTGAATCAGGAATTTCATATGGAAATTACGTATGATACGCCAATGACCTCAGTATAATCTAAAAAATGAGGATGGAACAAACACTTTAGAGTGAGGGGAGACGAGGATCTGTCCGTACCCTGTTAAGGTGACAAATACGTCAGTTTGCATCAAGGGACCACAAGAGTCTCGAGATCATACCCGTGTGTTCACCGAACACGCCCGATCGTTACCTAAGCGGTGGGGAGACCGAGACGTAAGCAGGCAGTCATGTACAATGAGTGGACAGGCAGCTTCTCTCATGCTGTCTTTGTTTTTGTAGTACGGGGTGGGCCACCAACAGTTTTCTTGATCACATTTCAACATTTTTTTTTTTCGAATAAATAAGAAACATTTGATAGGCATCAAGTGATCTACTGCGACCTATTAGATAATGAAAGCGATGATTTGATTTGCAATAATTCGCTATGTCCGAGGCTATGTCACGACGAGTCCTACATGTAAATAGCGAACCACTCATCGAAAATCATGAAACTATATATATGTACATATTATATGCTTATGTTTTGTTGGCGAGGACGCTCGTTTTTATTCAAATTATTTTCGATAATGTTCATCTGCTTCACTAGAAATTATTATTAGTAGTTATGTAGTACTTAGTAGTATAGTATAGTAGCAGCTTTGTTATTCAAAATTGAACACCTTGTATTTTATCACATTTTTCGATTCTTCTAATTGAGCTATGATTTCGTTAATCAAGCTCAAGGTATACCTATACGTAGAATGTGAAAAATCGAGATTTTTTTGTATCGAAACTATACAATACCTATATTGATTTGTCAAAATGGCTTACATGTGTCCCTATCCTAACATTCTATTTACTATCTACTGATGCCATTTAATTGAAACAAATACAGGGTGGATCAGATTTCAGAATTATATAAAAGAAGTACTAGTATATGCCTACTAAAAAAATATATATATTTGAAATAAACAAAACAAATATATCACATAAAAAAACACATTCTAATATTCAACATAAAATAAAATTCAATCCCACTGGATGTATTTAAAAATATAAACAGTGTGCATGTCACTTCTATAATCAACCCGTATATCTAACGTAACTGTTCAATTTTAAGGAGCGATAGATATTATACCAACTATGACCAAAGTGAGGTAATCTTCAGTGAAAAACACTGCTCTGGTCATGGACCCACCAACATTTCCGGAAAATGATATTAGGAGGCGGCAAGATAGGTTAAAAATCACTTCGGATTCGAAATCAGGACGTCCCTGTACCTCGAAAACGAATCAAGTTTAGGACACATGTTTATATGACCTTTATTCATCATATTATATCACAAGGAATCATCCCTTGAATTATTTCGGTGTTATTTAGATACACCCTGTATAGATCATTCTTCATCCCAACATTTTTCCCATAGCGAAGTTCAGCAAATACCGATGGCGAGAGCACTATGTCTATTGATTTGATGTCTACCTATAATATATGTAAAACAAGAAGGCACAACTACTAACTAGTGTTCCGTTTCGAAGTACATTAAATTGACAAATTTGACTCCAAAATAATTCAGGCACGCGCCAATATTCATAACTGCTGCCCGTTTACGTTTCCCCACCGCTTAGGGAACGATCGGGCGTGTTCGGTGAACACACGGGTATGATCTCGAGACTCTTGTCAAGGGACCCTACTTCAGTCTATCAAAAGCAATTAAAAGTAGCAACCGGAATCTGAAAAGTTTCAAATAATACGACACATCAAGTGATTCCGGTGGTGGAATCGGATAAATAAAACGCAACTATTACTGTCAAACTGAGTGTCATTTGTCAATGTCATTTGAAGTTTGAAAAACTAAGTGGCAAAGAAGGTGTTCTTGCTCTTATTTTCGATAATTGTAGTTATTGATCTGACCAAAAATATATCAATTTTGTTTGAGAGTGACGTCGAAATCGCTTCTGCGATCAGAGGGGATGAGAAAATACTTTTTGCGATTCAAGTTCTCGTACTGTCACTTAAAATCTATCTGTTCTGTGGATTCGTGAGTTCTGTGACATGACATTTGACAATGATATATTTTCTTCTGCCTGCCATGAATGCTGTGTGCTGTGATCTTTGAATTACGAATTCGGAATTTCATTCGTTTTTTGAAAATTTTGATTTGTTTGTTGAGTGTCAATATTTTGTCGAATTTATATAGTAGAATACTTTGATGTGCACTAAGAATGTGGGAAAATAACACGAATTTTCCACCTCGGTCGTATTCGTCGTCATTTTATATTGACGCATTAGCAGAGGTGAGTTATTAGGTTATGTTGCAAAATGAAATTTTTTTTGAATTTTTTTAATGGGGTAGGATCGAAGAACAGAAGAGTTCAATGTACTTTACATGACCGATAAATAAAGTGCTTGTATTGTAAACAATTAACAATATAATTCATCCATCTTGGAGAACACATACCTGTATCCTCCTCATTGTTTATGAGGACATAGTTTGTTAATTTGTCATGCTGGGTTTATAGATTCAAGAATTAAACTAACAATCGTGCTAACAACTATGAATTTAAAAAGATGAATACAAGGAGACATCTATGAGGGTTTATATATTTACACCTGTCATTTAAATTATAAGAATTACAAAGTTGGCCAACTTTCAAGTTAACAACAAGAATTAGGAAATTCTGAAGGCAGAACATGAAGATTGGATTTGTTATTGTTCAAATGGAGATTGTTGATATTTAATTGGAAAATTTTTCATGGATTCATGAATTGTGGAGACCAAAATCACTTTTTAACAACTTTTTGACCTCTAGTCAATACACATTTTACATCTAATTCTTAATTATTATCAGATATGTATAAACACCCCGATGATTATTAATTGTTGATTGTTAATTGATAATTATTAATTGTTAGTTTAATTGAATCTATAAACCCAGCATGACATAGATGTCTATGACCAGGATGACAATTCCAAAAAATTGTGATCTATCAAATTGCTACTCTTTTTGCACTGTTTAGATAAGTAATAACAATATCCATACAAACTTGCTAAAAAAAATATCAGTTGAAGGGATAGGTAAACCCATTAAAAAAGAACCACAAAAATAATATTTCAGAAATTCTTACAATAACACATAATGCAGAATACAAAAACAAATAATTTTTAGCTACTATGCTATTGCCTGCCATCATTAGTAGATCTGAAAAGTAAATGGTTATTTTAGTATGGCTTTTAGTAGGCATATATTTCCAGAAATTGCTCTAGAAATTACCAATACATTTGGAGACACCAGTCTAATATTACAATAAATCAAATAGTTCAGTCATTGGGGATCAAAAATAAGGCAAAGGAAGTTTTGAAACTTTGCTGGTTTGTAGGTTTCGGACGTTTGGATGTCCAGAACTAAAATTCACAAAATGCACATTTCGAGATATGCGGAGATATGCCGCTGGCGCCGCCATCATGTCAAGATGGCACCCAAAAATATTTTTTTTTTCATTTATCTCCAAAACTGTGATTTTTCCGGAAAAATATGTTGAGAGAAAAAGTAGAGAGGAAGAAATTTCCTACAAGAAATGTTCCTAGCATATGTTTGCTAAAGTGAGCCGTTTAGGCTCAAGAGCTGATTGAATGACAACAAATTCTGTTAATTTCTATATTATACTGTCCCTCACTATCTCCATAATTGCTCATAAATTTATCTTTCATAGTAAAACGGGCTATTCTATTGGTTTCTAGTTATATTTATAGCTTGCTGACTAGAGGGAATGTCCTATCAAATATGTACCTAGTATTTTTTTGCTCAAGGATAAGGCATAAATGCGCTCGCCAAATTGAAAATTTTGCTCAAGTTTTCTGTAGACGCGAATTTCGGAAATAATATGATTGTACATTAGGGGTCCCCAAGGCCCAAATCTAATATTATAGGACATTATAAATATTTTTTTCTACTCCCGTATGTGAATTACTATAACTTCACACATCGATAAAAATGTGTAAAGCTTCATTTCACGAATCGGTGTGTGAAGTGCCATGCTTTTCTTATGGGATTTATTTCACGCACCGGTGCCATAAGAGTCAATACAAATTCACACACCGAAAAATTAATTATCAACGAGGGAAATGTACTCGGCAAGTGATTGGTATAAATAAGATAGGAAAAGTCCCTTCAGAAGTTGCCACATTTTTGAAACTCCCCAATCCCAACGAATTTACCGGGCACAGCAGGGCCGGATTTAGAGGTCGAGAGGCTTCGGGGCAACAAAGGAGTGGAGGCCCCCTGGCCCCAAATTATTTTCCAAATAAAGTGGACAATTTTTCTCAGTTGAGTTTTTCAATAAATAATTTATTGTGGAACCAAGTATAGAGTATTTTATTTTTTAACAAACATATAAATATAATCGGAAACGAGAATTATTCTCTGAAATTAAATTTTAGCGTTAACGAATGGAATCTTCCGAGCTTTTTTCGCCGAAAAATCGTTGATGATTTCGCTGAAATCCAGTTCCCGGAGTAGATCACTTTCAATACTCAGGAGAGAAAGCTTTGATAGACGATTTTGTCCCATCGTGGTTCGAAGACTATTTTTTAAAATTTTCATTTTTGAAAATGAGCGTTCTCCCTTGCAATTTGTTACCATCAAAACCAAATACATTCTCAATGCAATTTCAAAGTTTGGCAATGTAGCTCTGAAATTTTGATCTTCAAGAATTTGGTAGTAAAATAGTTCCGGAGATTGGTCTTTTCCATAGTCCTTTTTGTATGAGTCGATCAAAGATACAAATTGGACCAACTCATTACCAAGACTAGGTTCTAAATCATCCTGATTTTTCTAGTGTTTGTGGGGGCCCCTCTTCCGTGGGGGCCCCGGGGCTGTAGCCTCGGTTGCCCCCCCCCTAAATCCGGCCCTGGGGCACAGCCTACGGCGTTCATCTGCGTCTTTATTAGTCGAAGGTGGAGGAGATCTCCTAACGCTAAAAAAACACGGCGGCTGGAAATCATCCTCAGTGGCAGAAGCCTACGTGGAAGAATCCCTAACTAAAAAGATAGATGTCTGCAATAAAATCTTAACAACTGAGAATAATCGTAGTTATGTTGTCAAGTACAAGCAGCACTAATTTTGTAGAGAAAGACAAAGTAAATGTACATTTTGACAATTTACAAAATTGCAATATAACTGTTCATAATAATTAATGTCATAATAAAGAAAATAAGTCAAATTTTCCTTCAATTCAATCTCTAAGTAAAAGGTCGTAGAAAAAGTATAGTGTGCACCACGTCCGTGAAGACTTTTTTACACTCGTGCGGATTGTGAAACTCGCCTGCGGCTCGTTCCACAAACTTCCACACTCGCGTAAAAAAGTATACTTCACGCACTAGATACACAATGTACTATTTCTAGTAGCGTGCGAAAAAATAAATTCGTTAAGTTTAAAGGGAATATACTGAAATTTGAATACTCAAGATTTATATTTGCATATGATTGTAATTTACATAATGACATAAATGGAGAATTTTATTAGAATTCTGCTATAATTTTTGATAAAAAGGAAAAAACTTAAGCTTTTGCAATTAATTTGCAGAATGCAACAAATTGCACGTTTAATATTAATATTAATAATAATTAATTTGCGAACTATGTATTTAATAATAAATGTTTCTTCATGTTAACACTTGGGTTTTTTCCGCACGCTAGTAGGAAAAATAGTGTACCTAACACGTGCGTAAAGTGACTTTTCCGCACGCGATTGCTAACGCGTCGTTCGGCCATCTGCTCGGTTCGGTTCGGTTGTAATGGATACGAGATCCAGATGACATTGTACCATCATTCAGGCATGTTATTCCATGAATAAATGGGCGTTTTGTCAATTCTCAGAGTTGTTGAAAATTCTGAGCAGAAAGCTTCACTTTTCATCTTTGACACCCTGTATCTCGAAAACTAGTCAGCCGATTTCTTTGTGCCCATGGACACTTTTGCTTAGGGAGTCAAAATCTACATCATACCAAAAATTCAGGGAATTTAAGCCATTTTCCATAAGCAAAGTGCAGGGTCCGTTCTTGTAGGGATACTCACTGTGTCTAGGTAGGTACACATTTTTGGGAAAATAGGTTCCAAACAGGGTTATCCAGAAGAATTTGGCAATTTTGATATATAACTGCATTTTTACTTTTTCATCATTTCAGGAAGAGAAAGCTGTAGTTCCAAGCAATGCAGAAGTGAGAAAAACACATTTGTTTGATTGTTTTATTTCCACGGTGAGTCAATCGCTACCAAAGTATATTCTACTTATTTTTTTTTCGCTCATGTTAGAAAATGATCACCAAAATAACTTGCATGCTACATGAACAGTGTGAATTTTAAGAATAGAATAAATCTTGGAATACATCCTATATTATCCCAAACACCTCAAAATCCCAATATTATGCGAATGTAATCATTAATATTAATTTCCGCCGACCTCGTATTAACGACTAAGTTTAATGTATATGAAATCGTTCATTAATGACCCCTATTAATGGACGATTTGTCTATTAATGCACGATTGTTTTATAGGCAACCAAACATACACCGCGTGCATTCATTGTTTATGCTATACCTAGCGGAATCTGCATTTAACTCAAAAATATGGATTTCATCGACGATTTTCCGTTAACGGGTTCGCCTTTCCAAGTTTCTGACACGATTTTAATCCCTGTTTTCTAACACAAGGAATGTATTTTCTATGTTGATCATTTCGACAAATGTCAAATGACACTAATGTCAGTAACAAGGCTACTGGGTGATTCTTAGCAGTTTCCGGATGGATGATGAATTCGCGAACCAAGTTTTCTTCATTGCAGGAGAAATGAGAAATATAGTCGACGGAAAAATTTTGTAACCAACTTGTATATTAAAAGGAGATTAATGATCTCGAACATTAACGCACTCGCTTCGCTCGCACGTTAAAATATCTCGATCATTAATCGCCCTCATTAATACACTAGTTGGTTAAATAACTATTACTCAACGGAAAACGGCCGTTCATTATCTTTCATACAAAACAATATTTTATTTATCGCTTCAATTTGGAAAACACCCTGTATAAATCATAAATCCATCCTTTATTATCTACAAAATAATTCATACATCAGGATTTTTCATGATATGGACAAAAAATATCAACAAAAGCTAATAACAAAGCACAAAAAACGGCAGCTCTAGTTTAATTTTGTTGGACCGTATTTATTATCGTTTGACTTTCACAATAAGCATCTGCTGATAAATTTGTTTATCACCAGTTGGACGCCATAGTTTTTGCAGCAGAATATTGTAAAATTGTGCCCACAGATCTGGATGTGTTGAATGCTTCAATAAGTGAATAATTAAAGGTATGTATGAAAATTATCAATTTTTTCTATTTGCACTCCTCATATTTGTCAATATTCATAACTTTTTTGGTCAAACATTCTTTCAAAAAACCAATTCGGTGAGTATGATAATCGAGAATAAAATTTCAGATTTGTGAATTAATAGTCATTATTTCATTTAAAATTTTTTTATTTCGTCCATCTCAGATATCAATTCATCATATTCTGAGTCGAACAATAAGCATAAAATCTAAAATTAGCTTTCCATTTATTCCATCGCAACTAATGATGTAAATACTTGTGTTCAATCGATTAAGTGTCAAGAATAAATCAACGAGATTGTGACGCAGTACTTCGAAAAGAGTTATTAATAATTGGTACTATTTCTTTCTATGAAGAAAAACCGTAGAAAGCATCTGGTGTCAAGTGGCAATAAAGTTATTCATGAGTTCTTGAATTTTTTAGGCAAGATACAGTGTGACTCATTATCACGGACTGGAGCACAGAACCGATTGCAAAAATAATTTCAATTTTCAGGACAGAGTTTTTTTTTACTTGAAAAAGAAACGGCTAGATGTTTAAACTTATTTTTCTTGAATCTTTCTTCATTCTAAGACCATTTCCGACACATGATATCAATTTAAAATAAGAGCTCCTCAGAATACTGATTATAACTCGATAATTCAATTCATGAATAAAAAATCCCATAAGACGCTGGGATTTTGTCATTAGGACAGCGACAAAACCGAACCTAACATTTGAAGGTAAAACTGCATTTAACATGCGATGGGTTTTGTTTTCAAATATTTTCTTTTTGGTTCTTACGTATTTTTGTCTGAAAAATACGAATTTGATAATGAAAATGTGAACAAACCAGTATTTATGGAGATATTTAAAGAAAAAGTTCGAAATTTCGTCTTCTTTTCCCATTCTGTTGGATGCATTCACAGGTACTTGCTCGTTTTATTTTGTCATAGGATACTTTATATACTCATGATGTACTTCAATGACACATTTTTATATAGAAAATTCAACAGGAAATATGATTTTCATGGCGAGTTTTTCATATTTAGTGAACAATCATACCAGATGACGGCCCTTTAATCAATAGTCAATCCAAATACGAGATGTCAAATGTCAACAGATTGCTTTTGTATGACATTACACACGCCATTATTTTAAATGATATTCTTCCTTCCTTTCACTAAATATGGATAAATCACAAGAAAATCATATTTCTAGTTTTCATATAATAAAAAAAATGTGTCGTACATTGTGATACATATATTTAAAATGTCCAATGATGAAAAAATAAGGGCAAATTGTTCTAAATGCGATCCAGAAGACAGGCGGAAAAGAAGGTGAACTTTGTAACTTGATAGTGAAATATCTCAATAAATAAAGGTTTGTTCACATTTTCATTATCAAATTCGTGTTTTTCAGACATACGTAAATACGTAAGTACCAAAAAAAAATTCTTCGAAAAAAACCTATCGCATGATAAATGCAGTTTTACCGTAAAAACTTATATTTCTTGTGTCGGAAATAGTCTTAAAATGAAGAAAGATTCATGATGTCAATTTGAAATAAGAGTTTCTCAGAATATTGGTTATAACTCGACAATTTATTTCATGTATAAAAAATCCCATAAGCCGCTGTGATTTTGTCATTATGACAGCGACAAAACTTTTCCAAAAGTTTTCCAGCGACAAAACCGAACCTAACATTCAAAACCATAAGACAACCTGAATTGTGAGCGAATATTGATGGCGCTTATGTGAATTTTTCGTTTTCTTGCGTTGTCAGAAAAGTATCTAATCTGTGGCATGTAGCGATTTGGATAGTCTGCGAGTGGAGAAATTGCAAAAACTATCAATGATAGTGTGATTTATGTATTCATTAAATTGTCTAACCGAATTACAGTCGAGTATTTTTGTTGGGTCGAAGTAAACTTAAAATTCATAATTCGAGTTTTGTTGCCTTTAGGAAATTCAACTCAGTATACTACCAGAAAAAAATACTCGACCTACGGTATCGTAATTCATTGGAAGGCAAATTTTGCGAGTCAAACAGAGTCACTTTTGATCTGAATGAAACATGCTATTTTTTCTGCAATCGAAATAATTGATATCTAATTGATAAAATATAAGTGGAAATACCACTATTTTGAGTCTCTTGACCATGTCAGTGTCAAAGCAGCTATCATGTCAGTGTCAAAGCAGCTATCATATCAGCTGTCATCCGACACGTTTTTAGTTTCTAGGAGTTAAACTTTAACTTTAGCTCCTAGACACAAAAAGTGCTGCCTAGCAACATACATACTAATCATTTTATTGTGTCCGTAAAAGAAACATCAACGAGCTAAATTTGGGACAAAAATGGACGACTTTTGAGCCGATTGCAGAAGAACAACATGGTTATACAGTTGGTTATATCGGTTGGGACGCATACCTGATTTGTTTCCGATTTCGACAGATTTGGCATTTCATACCCATGCTGTAGATATAGATACAGCATATTATAGTTATGTATTTTTGCTTTGATCAGGAAAGCCTTCAAGATTCACATACTTGCATTCTTCATTCTCGGGATAGATGTTTTGTTTTTGAATAATCACGGCCAGCAATACTTTTTTGTCTCAAACAACGATATTGTTTACCTTCATTTGATTACCGAGCCAAACACAATGGAGTATAGAGAGAGATAAATAATCACTATTATTATTGTTGATATGCTGACTAACCTAACATTTTCCACGTTTTTTTTTTCATATACCTGGCACTGGCGCGGTATTTGCTATTAGGGCTGACACCTGGTCCATACACAAATGAGTCACTCTGTGGTTGTAATTATATTGAAACAACAATTCGAACATCTTTGAAAATTGAATAAACCTGATCTGTAAATGCAGGTAGAATATTCTCACCACACGGATTATTTGTTGCATCGCATACATATGGCACGGCATCCACGTTTCGGGTATAATATTGAATTCGTGCCTGTACTATCTGATGACATGGTCAACAGAAAATGTAACAGAGTAAAGTAGTCTGAGGTCTTGCTTCTATATCTACTTACTCATATTAATATAATAAAGGTATCCTATTAATCTTCTTACTTCATATATTCATTTTAGTTTATTATTTTGGTTGCAGGAAAAATAGCATGTTTCATTCGGATCAAAAGTGACTTTGTTTGACTCGCAACTTTTGCTTTCGCTTGGCTTCGCTGGACGCTCTGCCTCGCAAATTCAAAATTCACTTTTGGTCCTGATCAAACGATCTACCATCAACCGTTATTGGCATGCACCAAATTCATAGCATTTGCTAGCGTAGATTTTTAAATACTGTTACGTTTGGAAAAGTTTGATTCCATGAGGGTGTTCAAAAATCACTTCCTGACCAAAAAAGCTATCAATATTGAAACCTGCCGAAACCACTCGAATCTATAACCTGCACCATCTACTTTCAGATGAAGTTTTCCCATCTATTACCGTTCATCCTCCACTTGGCAGCCACCCAAGTACCCACAAATGTGACAGAATGCGTTCTCGACCGCGGACCCACCAGAACATTCCCCACCCCCACAGATTACCAAGGCACCAAATTCAGCTTCGACCCCCACCATCCCAGCTACCAAGGCAACGTGGTCGAATTCGGCGCCTTCACCGTAGAAATCCTGCCGAAGAACTTCTTCGTCAGCTTCGACTCTGACCACATCGTCAGCTTGAGGTTGGAAGGCAAAGGAGTGACCACCGTCCAAGATGGCGCCTTCCTAGGCCTCTTTTGCCTGCAGGAGCTCGACCTTTCGAGGAACAACATCACCACGCTCAGCGAAGGCTCTTTCGAAGGCTTGCAGAATCTCAAGAAGCTCGACCTGAGCAGAAACGCCTTGGTGAATATCCCAGA